CCACTTGCTGTTTGAAAAATGCAACAAATGCTGTTGCCTGGCACACCAAGAGGGCAGAGCTGCTAACAAATACACACAAATATAGGCTCACAATGACATTGTGACATCATATGGTACCAGCTGACATCATATGATACTTCTTAGCCCTTAGCAACAGCAGATTTAAATTCAAATGCAGTGCAGAGTTTTTACCTGAAGTGAAAACACTGAGTTTTAGGCAGAATATTTAAATTTTAACTAAGATGCACTAAAGTGCCAAATTATTGACTACATGTGTCTACAGCATGATCAGAGACTCATTTATATAGTTAATCAGCAAAAAAAAGTTGATTTGGGGGGGGGACTTGCTCTTTAAAGAAGTCAAGGATGAGCTGTGTTTAAGGAGAGAGAATGGGGCAGGCGTTCATGCTGTCTCAGTGTGAGCGAGCACGATGGTGGGCTAGCGTCTACGGACATCAGGTGTCTCTTTTTCCTTTAGCTCGTGTTAAATTGCTGTCAGCAGAAAAGTGTAACGCTGATGAACATGTCTATGAACAGTTGCAGAAGCTTACAGACTCATTTATGTGTTAATATTTCCCACTGAAAGACTCTGAGTCACTTAATAAAAACAGAAATAAAAGGGGTTCACCCTGGACACACACACATACACACACACACACACACACACACACACACACACGCACGCACGCACACGCACATGCACATGCACACACACACACACACACACACACACACACACTTTAGGTTAACTTCATTCTTGGCTAGCTGCTGATGTTGGTGTACTCTACAATATCTCAGAATGACATTTGACTCAAAACTGCAGCGCGGGCAAGGTTATCGATGGCATCGAGGTTGGGTCACATTAACTCATTCACTGCCAGTGTTTCTCACCGTTTTTACTGTTTGTTTTGTTAGGGTCACAGAACGTTGTGCGCTAGGATGATGTCGACGCCAAAACAACCAAAACAAAGCGGAGACTCATCTTTTAATCAGGAAGAATCCGCGTGTTTCGATTGTTATCCGTTCTTTCATAATCCATTGCTGAAATGTGATCGACAGACGCTTTTCCAGTTCGCGCCTCACTTTTTTTACAGCAGCGGCCCAAAACGATCTAACACATGGATGTTCTGCTTCCTGATCACGTGACGTGTGACGTATGCGGGTGAAGTTCGGCTTCAGAGCTGGGATGTTTGTTCTCTCAGCGCGGGGGCTCGTCCGACGCCCACACAGTAAAAAAATGCAAATGATGACTTTAGCCATCAGTGGCAGTGAACGAGTTAACAAACTGCACACGACCACATTTACAGAAGCGTTGGAGCGATGACTGTGCTCATTACCCTATGCCTACACAAGTTAATCGCACTTGCAGGGAAAACAAACCTGAGCAGGATCTAAACAGACCTCATGCGACACCGTTAGACAAGACCTTAGGCCGGGGGTCGGCAACCCGCTGCTCCAGAGCCGCATGCGGCTCTTCCATCCATCTGATGCGGCTCTCTGTGCTTATAAAATAATGAATGGATATTTAAATAAAATGCTTTATATTTTACTGCATTAATTTTACATCTGTATGCTAATTCTAAATGTAAAGATTGTCTGCGTAAACCTGAACAGGCCCAACCCGGTCTTACTGTGAGACCGGGATGGGTCACGCTTGTGCGTAATCATAGGCGCTTCCTGAGCTGACGAGGATGTGAGATTCTGGGATTCTCCTCAGACGGCTCCTGGATGTGTCGCCACATTGGAGACAGGAACAAGCGCTATTCAGCCAAAGTTTCATAATCAGGGAACATTTTCTAAGTGACAAGTCTGTCTGAGAGACCGGGTTTGGAAAACACTCGCTTCAGTGGGAGGAACCTTCCCGCATGCGCTCTGGTTCTGCGACGCGCTCCAAGCCCCTCTCCACATCTTCAGCTCCCTGTGCACCTTATGTACGCGCTGACAGCGAGCTGCGCTGAGCAGTGTCTAGCTCAGATGTTCAGATGGAAATCGTTTCTTGAGTGATTTAGCTACATCTGCGATGTGCGTAGAATAAAATGTCACTTCATCTGCATGCGTCGGGGTAATTCTTTCTATTCTTTCTCCGTCAAAATAAACGGTCAAATACGGGAACTGTCCGGTCAACACAAGCCCTGTTTTTAACTGTTTTGTTTTCTTGTGAAAGTTGTTGCAAAGAGATATAATTAAACTTGATTAACACCAGAGCCAGGCGCACTGCGCCGTTATCTCCGTCGCTGTAAATGAGGGAAAAACAAAATGATCGGATCCTTTTCTGACCTTCCCCACCTACAAAGTTTAATTACAACAATCAAACGTGACAGAGCCTGGATTTGTAATCTGAACAGTCTAAACATGTTTTAAAAAGAAACGTATGACAAAAGTGGCACCTGCTCAGTAAAACCACCAACAGGGTGAAAAATATCTAAATATTGTCGGCAGAGACGGGCTACAACTTCTGGATCCACTTTATATAAATCGTTTTATTGATTATCGTCTTATGAAAGATAACTTTGACGTACACGAGCGACCGGTACCGGCTGCTGTCACCTGTTGTGATTGGTTAAAGCAGCTCTCTGCTGTCTGAGGGTAGGCCCCGCCCACAACACTGCGGCTGCTGTGGCTCCCAGTGTTGTCTTTACTGTGGGAAACGGGTAATAATGGCTCTTTGATGGGAACAGGTTGCCGACCCCTGCCTTAGGCCAAAAAGCTCAGGTGTCTTCCTTTTAACCATAAAGTTATAGACTAAAAGGGACAAGTAAGTCAAGTTGGTCATTCTTGCTGCTTCTCTTACATAATCAATCAATCAATCAATCAATCAATCAATCAATCAAAGTTTTATTTATAAAGCGCCTTCCACAACCCTGTCAGGAAGCCCAAAGCGCTGAACATGGTACAGTTGTAGGTAAATATATTGAATAAATCAAAAATAAAAGCAATTCAAATTACAAAATAGGTGAAACATTCTGGTACAGGACAAATGTGTAAAAATAATGTGACATCATGACGAGTGACTGCATGTTTTTTATGTGTTTAAGTCAGAAACCTAAAAGCCTTATCTGGCTTCCTTCAGACACACACTGCTTTCCTTTGATTGGATGCAACTGAATCTTTCTTTGAGTCGTGACCCTGGTGCCCTCATCATGTTGTGACTATCGTTGCACAGAGCATGCAGTAGATACTGAAGCCTTTCAGGATGCAGTGGTGCGTTTGGTTGGTCTGAAGGGGCCTTCAGGCCTGCAAGAGCCAGCTCATTAGCTGTGTTGGATAGAAGAACAAAGGCGGTTTTTACGCACAAATAATCCTGTTTGTAGGACAAACTGTAGCTGTTGTGCTCTCAGTGTTGACCCATTTAGTTTAGCTTCAACGATGCCGTCTGCTTCGATGGGCTCATTTGTTTGTCTGTTAGCTAAACATCTCCTGATTTACTGGATGGATTCCACCAAAAGTCTCAGAGTAGTCACTGGATGTACATCAACAACTGAAGAACTTTTGAAGTCAACCTTTTTTTGTCATCCTGGTCTGTGTGCCCGCTGGAACACATACATGTGATGTTAAATCGTTTAAATCTGGATACCTTTGACCCAGCTCTCACCCTGGATTCTCATGTCAGTTCTCTTGTTCGCTCTTCCTTCTTCCATCTCAGGAACATTGCTAAGCTGAGTCCCATTCTGTCCCGCTCTGAACTTGAGACAGTTCTCCACACCTTCATCTCCTCACGCTTAGACTACTGTAACTCTCTTTTCACGTGTCTGAGCAGAACCTCCCTGAACCGTCTACAGGTGGTTCAGAATGCCTGTGCTCGGCTTCTGACCAAGTCCTCCAAACACACCCACATCACCCCGCTTCTCCTCCAGCTTCACTGGCTGCCAGTCAACTTCAGGGTTCATTTCAAGATCCTGGTTCTGGTCTATAGGGCCTTACATGGACAAGCACCATCTTACATTGGTGATCTTCTCAGTCCCTACACCCCCAGCAGGTCCCTGAGGTCCAGTGATCAAAGCCTACTGGTTGTGCAGCACCAGGCTAAAGGTCAAAGGTGACAGATCATCTGCTGCTGTGGCCCCCAGACTCTGGAACTCTCTCCCCCTGAGCCTGAGATCAGTGGACTCAGTGGTCTCCTTCAAACTCACCTGTTCCGGCTTTGGTGGGACCTTCATCACCTCCCTCTCCTTATTCTGCTCTTCCTAACAATTCCACCTTTCCCGGGATCCACCGATTCCCTCTTTCCTGCTCGTTTTCTCTCCCTTTCCGTACATTTACTATTCCCATCATATTTTTAATCGTTTTTTTTTGTGTGTCTTTTTTATGTTTTAATTAAATTTTGTTTTTGTGAAGCGCCTTGTGATTTTTGTCTTCACAGGCACTATATAAAAGATGGTTTTCTGTCTTTCTATGAATGTTTCTGTCAGGATTTGGTTGCTGTTGGATTCACAGGTGACGGTGTGGGTGAATGGGGGTGGGGGGTGGGGGGGGGGGTTCTTGGACTGGAGCTTTCTAAACACAGGCTATTTACCACGTAAAACAAAGTTTTCACTGTTAATCACTGTTTAAACAAGCTGGTTTGAAGCATGAGTTCTAGGTATGAATAAATTTTGGGCCATTCCCATCTGTACCGGGTCGGCCCGGGCCGGGTAACGTAGGTTGTTTACATATCTGGGTGGCCTGGTATCTTTCCGGGCCAACCAAGGCTCATTCTCAGCCCTCTTCTCGAGGGAGTCTGCTTCAGGCCGACCAGGGCCAACACACCCACTGCTGACAGCAAATTCACACCTTCCATTAGAGCAAGCCTCTGATTGGTGGGTAGAATCAGCCCACATGTGCTTAAGGCAAGGATGTGTGGAATCAACCGGGCCAGGCTGGGGCCGACTGGGGCTACCCGGCCCGGGCCGACCCGGTACAGATGGGAATGGCCCATTTGATGCCCTCCTCATGTGTAGCTAGCCGCTCTGTGATAGAAGTGTGAGATTGGCATTGATTTAAAACACTGTGTTTGTGTTTAGGCCAGCCAGCCCACGGTAGTGCTGCAGCAGCGGCTGCCCAGCAGGGAGGCTACGAGATCCCGGCTCGCCTGAGAACCCTTCACAACCTGGTGATCCAGTACGCCTCCCAGGGCAGGTACGAGGTGGCAGTGCCCCTCTGCAAACAGGCTCTGGAAGACTTGGAAAAGACCTCTGGACATGACCATCCAGATGTAGCCACCATGCTTAACATCCTGGCACTTGTCTACAGGTACAAACTAAGATTCTTTATTTATGCTTTTTTATTGAAGTCCACTCATCTCCTGCAGCATATTTTAGTTTTACTAGAATAAAAGTTGTTTTCTGCGAAGGCTCCTTTCACCAGAGTTCCCAGGCCTTTTGAGTGCAGACCGCAAAGACGGACCTTTAACTCTCGTCTCCACAAACGCGTTTCGTTTCTTTTACAGGAAAACGTGTACTAATGGCTGTCTTTGTTTCCCTCACATCCTTGTGGCATGTTGCTAGAATCCTCCAGCATGCACCCTTGGAGCATTCTGGGACTAACTTTGGTGCCTCGCTGTCAGGCGAAGGCAAACAAAGCAAAGATTTAGAGTCAGGAGTCAGGAGAAAGTGTTAATTTCTTTGCCCAAGAAGATGGGAACAAAAGAATGACACTAAAGAGCCAAAGTATACTAAAAGTACTTTGCAGGTCTTGTGTTTTACTGGAGGAAATCCCAGCGTCTGGTCCAGCTTATGGTCAACGTGCTGTTGTGTGGAACGTGGGAATGGCTGCAACGCTGTTTTGAGTTGTCACATGAAAATAAAGTGGTGCTAGTGGGAATAGGTTTAATTCTCAGTCCTGGCTGTCGTGTTTTACGTCAGAGTGTTGTTGCATCTGTCTCTTAGGGATCAGAACAAATACAAGGAGGCAGCTAACCTGCTGAATGATGCTCTGGCCATCCGAGAGAAGACTCTGGGCAGGGATCACCCAGCTGTGAGTACATCTGTCCGCCGTTAGACATCAGTGCTACCACAGCACGCGTCTGCGTCACTGGTAACACGACTAAAGGGTTCTCGAAACTGGAGAAGATTTGAGTACATTTTATAAACAGGACTGGAGGTACTTTTTCATGTTTGTTTCTATGGTGACCCAAACGTATCCGTAACTGTAGGTGTTGAAGGTTTAGATGTTCTGTGGAGGTGTTCTCACCGCTCCTGGCCCATTCTCCCAGTTTACTCACACACTGACCGACTGTTTTAACCTCAGCAGGCCTTTGTCCAGGCTGGTTGGACTCCCATCATGCTTCAGTTTGTGACACTGAGGTTAGCCTCCTCTCTCCTTCTCCGTAACTGGCACCGGGGCCTGATCCCTCTTTTCACCAAGCATTTTTTTCTTCAGGGATCTTTAATGAGAAGAAAATCACATCAGATCAATATAATTGTTATGCTCCTTTTGACTTTTAATCACACGTTCACTGATGAGACCCTGCTAAAGTGTTGATTTAAGGCCTTAAACTCGACATAGGTGGGGGTGGGCCTAAACGGGCATTTATTTCAACTAAAGTTGAACATCTTTAATGCTTTTGTTGGTGAAAAATGACTTTTCACTAAAGACATCCTGTTGATTTGAGCTATGATAAATGTGAACCCTTATGCCTGGAAATGCTTCAGATTGCTGGTTAGGAAACCTGAAAGGTTCTGGAGAGTTCCTCCTAACTGGAAGGTAAAAAGTTAGATGTGTCCAGCTTTTTATCTGCATCAAAGCTGAAAAAGAAGAGGAAACAAATGCAGTTTATGTAGAAAATGTCCCGGTCCTCCCCCTTCCTTTGTCCACTCGGACAGCAGGACGTGGTCAGAGCTGACCTACAGAGCTCTCAGCAGCCTCCTTAAAGATCAATCAGCTTGGTTTGGGTCAAATTACAGCTCACTGTTATAAATATGATCTCTTTCTGATTCTGCACATCCTTTTCCTCCAATCAGTCACTCGTGCCCCAAATCGATCCGTTTACACTACTGTGGTGGGGTCTGCAGATGCAATCACTATTACACATAAATGAAGATGGTTACAATAAAAAAACTTTGTTGGATGACAAATGTTTCTGTTGTTTAGGTGGCTGCCACCCTGAATAACCTGGCTGTCCTGTATGGGAAGAGAGGGAAGTACAAGGAAGCAGAGCCTCTGTGCAAGAGAGCGCTGGAGATCAGAGAAAAGGTCAGGCCACCTAAATCTAATATGACTCGGCAGGTTCCACGTCTGAAGGTCACTAGTTGCATCTACCAGGGTGTCTCTTCACCTGTCCCCTTCTGTCTCCTCTCCAGGTGTTGGGTAAGGACCATCCAGATGTGGCCAAGCAGCTGAACAACCTCGCCTTGTTGTGTCAGAACCAGGGCAAGTACGAGGAGGTGGAGTACTACTACATGAGAGCACTGGAGATCTACCAGACCAAACTGGGTCCCGACGACCCCAACGTGGCCAAAACCAAGAGCAACCTGGTGAGAGGCGTTTCCTCAGCCCACTGTCCCCGTTTCATGCGTTCTGTCGTGATGCTGACAGCTGCTGGTTCTGTTCTTCAGGCCTCTTGTTACCTGAAACAGGGCAAGTTCAAGCAGGCGGAGACCCTCTATAAAGAAATCCTCACTCGTGCTCACGAGAGGGAGTTTGGCTGCGTTGACGGTGAGGCGTATACTTCATACACACCGGCACACACTTGTTTGTTTGGTCATCGACACGACAGACCGACACGCCTCCACAAGTCCTTCTACTCCTTTGGTTCTGTGGAGTCCTGTTCCAGATGACAGGTGGGCTTCAGAGACAAGCTGGCTGATTTATTGTTTCTCTGCAGATGAGAACAAACCGATCTGGATGCATGCAGAGGAGAGAGAGGAGCAAAGCAAGGTGAGTCTGTAGCCACAGATGTGTAAAAGCATCCTCACAGAGGAAACGCCGGTCACAAAGGGAAGAGGGCTGAACTTATCCGTGCTTCCTGTTCACCTTCAGTTGTTTGTTTTTCCACAGGGAAAGCCGAAGGACAGCTCGCCGTTTGGAGAATACGGAGGCTGGTACAAAGCCTGCAAAGTGGACAGGTAGCACCGGCTCTTTGATGTGGTGTACTGAGCTGGTGTTAACTATATTGCAGGGTTTAATAGTAATGTCTGCTCAGCCCCACAGTCACCACCACGCTGAAGAACCTGGGGGCACTCTACAAGCGGCAGGGCAAGTTCGAGGCAGCGGAGACTCTGGAGGAAGCTGCCATGCGTTCCAGAAAACAGGTGTGGTTCACACACCTGTGTTAAAGGGACTTTACGGAGTTTTGAATTTTTATGCTCGTGATTGCCCCCTCAGGCCAAAAGCGTAACGGCAGCTTCAATAGTAGGCTCGTGCACGAGGCGCTCATGCTGTACGTGCACACTCCTTAACGAAAATAACAGCTGAGACAGTCCCCCGTGTGTGTGTGTGTGTGTGTGTGTGTGTGTGTGGGTGTGGGTGTGTGTGTGGGTGTGTGTGTGTGTGGGTGTGGGTGTGTGTGTGTGTGGCCCGTAGGACAGAGGACAGGAGAATGCACAGCTAATTAATGAAATAATTTGGTTCTGTAGCTTTCTCTTCAGCACAGCCGACAAAGGTTAATGATGGGTCAGTCCTCCTGCATGCTCAGATCATTCCCTTCCCTTGCTAGAAAAATTGTTCCAAAATGAAAGTTGAACCCACATCTTTTTTATCTGTGAATTCAATGCCGTTCGGTGAGTCTCAAATAAAAATTTGGGCATCTTACTGTAAAAAAATACCATTAATGTAAAAAAGAAACTCTAAAAAAACTACGTTCGCATTCAGGATCGATCCCGGGTGTTCTGCACGAAAGTCCGACGTTTTAGTAGGCGAGCTAAAGCGCCAGTAACATCCTTTGTATCTGTAGCACTTATATCGTTGATGACAGCTGAAACAACGTTCAAAGAACGGTTCGGAGGGCTATGCCTGAGCGTGAACGCGCATGAAGCAGCCTGCTCGACCCGAGCATCTCTCTTTTTCTGTGATTTTACAGAAAAATAGGCAATCACAGTAAAAATGCCAGGGCTCATTCTACAGGACCAGGGCATTGCAGGAGAATGTATGAAGAAGACATTTATTATTTCTATACATGTTTTGGCTGTCACACTTCCATAATATCCCTTTAAAGACCAGCACAGACGTTATCAAACAGTCAGAAAACAGCATCTCTAATGGTGTCGACTACTGCAACTCACTCCTTGTAGGAATTTGTAAAAAACCTCTTTGGAAAGTCGGTCCATCCAGAACGGGGCAGCAGCGCCTCAACATATGACCTCAATAACCCTTACAGTCCCCCTGCTGGCCGTCCTAACCCACCCACCCATCTATGATTTTACTTGTTTTACAGCGGCTCCTGTCATTGTTTTATGGCTGTTGCGCGCTTTGAGATGTAATAGTTACAAATGAAATTATTTTATTAATGTGGTAGGAACAGCTGGCGACTTCTACTGACGCTGACATTACAGTGACATGTACGTTTGACATTAACGAGTCCATCTTGGTTAAGAACCGTAACAGCAAGCCAACAACAAGATGGCAGACTTCTTTAATGCTGGACGCACATTACCGTAATAAGCGTAGTAAGTGCTCCCTTCCGTGAGTGCTTCAACAGATAAGAAAATGTATTCATCTACTTATTAACCTACTGTGTATGTCGTCTGTTTGTCACCTGGAATCTTCTGGTGCTGATCCGTAACTCGCAACAGCCGAGAAACTCTGAACAGGAGAAAGATTTCAGTCTAGACCTCTTTAGTTTTATTTTGAAGAGTGGTCTGATGTCCTTAGGGTGATGCTGCCTGAACTCTTGTTAGCTTAAACGTATTTTGATGCACGTGCGAAGCAGCGTTTCAGCTAAGTTCGAGTTTTAGCGGTCCGTCACGTTCTGGTAATAAATACTGACCGCTGTTCTCTGGACGATGTTTGCGTGTGTCTGTGTTACACCGAGCCCCAACATGAAATCACCACCTGCGTGATCTCCAGGGTCTGGACAACGTGCACAAGCAGCGCGTGGCCGAGGTCCTGAGTGAGCCAGAGGTCCGCGAGAAGCAGCGTAGCCGTGAGAGTTTGACCTCTGACGCGGTGAAGTACGAGAGCGGGCCAGACGGTGGCGAGGAAGTGAGTATGAGCGTGGAGTGGAACGGGGTAAGTACAGTACACAGCCCTCAGCACCTTCCTGAGTTTCCCCGGCTTACATCACAGCCTGGAGCCCAGTGGGCCCGAGCTGCCGTTCAGCGGGATGGGAACAAAAATGTTAGTTTCGTTAGTGAAGTCGACTATAACAAGAGTTGGAGAGGACAGGGAGCAGCTGCAGACCTGTGTCATCTGATGTCATCACACTTAACTAATCATCGAATGCTCTCATTCTGTGGTTTTTGCAACAGAACATAATCAAAATGAGCTATTCACAGTTTTATTTAACAGTGGAAGTTAAGTTTGACTAACTGAGTGATCTACTGAGGATCCGATGCTTTTCAGGGGGTCCTGGTCCATAAAGTTCAGATCCATCCTTCAGAAGGAAACTCTAAGCCGCTCCCTGTGGGTGCAGACCTGGAGATGGAGGCTTGTTTTCTAAACGGCTGCTGCAGAGCTGCTCTACGTAGCAACTGTTGTCATAGCAGCGCCAACAACCAATCAGCATCGTCTCCACCTCTGCAGGTGGCTGTGGGAGCTCCACAGTGACACGACATCAGTGTGTAAATGCAGTTTTAACCGGCAGCGTCCGCAGCCCAACAGCTGCTGGCGCCTGGACAACGTGGAGTTAAACTAACGCATCGCTGGTTTCTGTTGGGGAATCTCGTGTGACTGAAGTAAAAGTAACCAAAACAACAAAGGTTGAGTTACTTCTCCAGCAGTAAATACCTAATCTAACGTTTTGGTTTCACGCCTGTCAAACGAACCCTCCCTGCAGCTGTGAAAGCCTCTACGAGATCTGACCGTTGTGACTCATCCTGGGCTCTGTACTGTACTCCTGCGTCTGTGTGCTGCACAGGAACGTGTAATTGTTTGTATTTGTGTGGTGTGTGCTTCTGGAAATGCTTTCTTCTGTTGTTCTTACTAAACATGTTTGCAGCCAGAAGCAACAACTGATAGTTTCTCAGCAAATCCAGCATTGAACTGGTTTCTAAATGCCAAACGCAGCAGCCGGCTGTAGAAAGTGATTCTGTATCGTCAGCTTTATTCTCCTCTTGGCTGATTATGTTGGTGTCTGGCTGCTCACATGTCTCCTACTTTTAACCGTGTTGATGGTCGTTTACTTCAGACTCAGACACAGCAGCTGTTCACCATCCAGCTGTCAAACCTCATGGACACGTCTGAGAATGACCCCACAGCGTGTCCTACGCCTCGTGGGTCCAGAGTTTCTCCTTTAGGGTTCTGTTCCCGCCTGGTTGTCCAGAATTAGCCGCCTGCTGAAGAGCTGCTGTGTTTGATGTTTCCTAACTTCTATCCTTTAAAGTGTTCATTCATCACATGTGACCTTTCTGTCCTGTCTCCTCCTCTTCCTGCTTTCTGAACGGAAGGCCTAACTGCAGATGTTCTGTAATGGTTGCATGACGGAAGCCTGGCCTCAGTCCCTTCATCTTTGCGGTCTTCTTCAGTTCCGACTCCCTCTCTCCTCCCTCTGGTGGGACTCCACGCTGCGCTGAGCAAAAGCCACCATGTTGCTTTGCAGCTCCCTGACTCTGTCTGACTGTATGGGGCAGGGGTGTGTGCTCTCTAACACACACCCTGATGGGCTGCTAGGTGATGGATGAGCTTGTTCTGCCCTGTAACCTCCTCAGTTTTGCCCCGGCCTTTAAAACTGCACCACCCTTCTACTCTAAGCCCTCTGCTTTAGGACGCGCGCGCACGCGCGCGTGTGTGTTTGAATGCTGCTCCAGCTCACTAGTTGGAAATAGCTGCTCGACTATCAGGAATCCGAGGGACTCGAAAGGATTTCCTAGCCACCGGTTTGTGTTGACTAAAAGGCCACCTTGATAAAATAGTCAGTGTACTTTTCGTACCTTTTAAACGTGTCAGCGGCTCTGAGGCTGCTCCAGCGAACGCAGGTGAGAGGCTCCTGCTCTTCTAACGTCTCTGTTCATATCAGCGTCATCTTGTTGTGTCGTTAGTGGCATCGTGTCGCGGTAGTGACTGTAAATAACATGGATGTAACTCAACAGCATGATTGAGAGCTGTTGGTCAGCGCTGTCTTAGTGCCGAAGCATCCTAGCAGGTTTTCAGCTCCTAGGTTTATATCTGCATTTAAATGACGTGTTTGCTTTGATTTTTCATTCAAAGTGAAAGATGACCTTCTCTGTATGAAGATGTTGATGTGTGGCCGAGGATCTGCTTCTGCTACTAATCTTCTGTGCTTTGTCCTTTTAGTGCATCTTTGTCTTTGCTAACTTCTAATAAAAGCTAAACTCTCTGCTCACCTGAACCTGTCGCCTCTCTGTGTCGTCTCTTCTGTCAGCTCTAGACCTCAGCAGCATCAGCACGCCAACTCAGAACGGTCTCCATACCCTAAAGTCCTGCATTCATACATTAATGCTGTTCCACAAACTGTTTATGAGAAATCCTCCCTGTGAAGGGAGCATGAGTACAAGTACATAAGTACAACTCATAGTACTGGTTGTCAGGACGCTGGTAATGAGAATGTAGATGCTGGAGGAACAGACGATGCTGTGTGTGTGCTCTCAGCATCGTAGATGCGGACCGTCACTAAACATCTTCTTGTCTGCAGCTGTCAGCTTTATAAACATTAACAGCTGAGTGAGAGAACCGGTCCCCTCCCCCTGCCGTTGGATAAATCAGCCCGTTGATGCTGCTCAGGCCTGAAGTGCAGCCAACGGTTAACAGCTTCACCGTCTGCTGCGGTGTGGAAACACGCCAACTCGTCTGGATTTGACCCGCTCTGGCTAATTTAGTCCAACGTGGCAGTTCTTCATAGATGATTTTATTTGATACATTCTGCAGGATAGAGGAGACACTAAGTCAGTCCAGGTGACGGATTATAGGTTGGGTTCGGGGGCGGGGCTAAATGTGGTGTGAGGAGCACGGACCCCCCCCCCCAGTCCACACTGGAGGCGTCAGTGGTGCAGAACGGTGTACCCGCGTGCTCCACAGCACGTCTCCACTGTAATCCTCACTGGACTCGTGAGATCACAAAATCCCTCAAGACTTCAAAGGTCACGCTTTGTTTATGCCAGTGTTTCCCAACCCTGGTCCTCAGGGACCACTGCCCTGCATGCTTTCCACGCTGCCCCATCAAACACCCGTGTTTCCTGCTGCCACACACGACTAAAATGAACAAGCGATTAACAGGCGTCTGCAGCACTTGATGTCCTCCCGAGGAGCCGATGTAAATCAGGTGTGCTGACGCAGAGACATGGAGAACATGCAGGACGGTGGTCCCTGAGGACCAGGGTTGGTGAACACTGGTTTACGCCATCCACCATTAAACCAAAAAGGAGATCTGCCCTCTGCCGGGATTAAAACCTCATCGGCCGTAATGGGAAGCACTGTCACGCTTCTCAATAGCTGCTGGGAGTAAATACGCAGTTAGGTCACATGTATAGATGTAATCTACGAAGATGAGAAATCTGCAATCATCTTATTTTGAAAATTACAAGACATTTTACCCTTTTGTGGGACACTCCTGAAATGTTGGGTGTAGATTACAATGGATCATATCTGAAGCAGAGACGTCCACGCTGCTGATGCCTCCAGTGTGGACTGGGGGTAAGTGGGCCGTGTTCTGTGCCTTCATAGTGGAGGGAAGACCCAGGACACGCCGGAGAGACTGTTGGGCTGTGGAGAGGGACGTCTGTTCCCCTCTGCTTCAGCTGCTGCCTCCTCGACCCGGCCTTGGATAAGCGGAGGGAAAATGGATGGATGTGTTAGGTGACAGATTAAATGAGAGGTGATGGGGTTACACTGTAGTAGAGCTGCTGCATGAGTGTGGGACCATCCAGGAGAAGGACCAAGACTCAAGAGTTGAAGCTCTTTCAGCAGCTGCTTCTGTACGAAGACTGCCTTCAAAGTTCAAGTTTAGTCTCTAAATCTAGTTTTATTAGTTACTGTGTGTGTAGTTTTGATTGAAAACACGCATCATCATGGCAGCCATGTCTGTTAATTTACAGCTTGAAAGCCCGTCTGACTGTTAGACGTGTAACAATGTCACCTGTCCCATCAGGATGGCTCTGGATCGCTGAAGAGGAGCGGCTCCTTCAGCAAGCTTCGAGCTTCGCTCCGTCGAAGCAGCGAGAAACTCGTCCGTAAGCTGAAGGGTGGCAGCTCGTCACGGGACAGTGATCACAAAAGTTCCGGGTAACTATCAGCTCTCCACCCACCCAGACACCCGCCCTAAGCGCTTCAGGTGGCTCGCCTGATTCCCCGGAAACCTGCAGGATCGAGCCCAGCCTTGGCTTTGGCTTTTATCTACAGGAAGGGATTGTGTGTTTGCTGGTGGTGAAACGTTACTGCTGTGTTTGCACGTGAAAGGACGAAGCGTCGGGCGTCACACGCCCGCTCTTCTTCTCACTGCAGCTGTTGACCCGTAGCTGTTGCACGGCGTTTGGCCAGAGTCTGGGATGGCCGCCCAGCACCTTTACAGGAGAAAAGGGCTTTTTCAAAGAAAGGAGGCTTTTGTTGAAGAGCATTTTCAGAGTTTTTGTAAATAAGATTTTATTCACTAAAATATTCAGTATTTTTAAATGTAATCTTAAAACAACAAGATTTTCAGTTGTATAAGTTACCATATGTAGACAAAAACGACTAAAAGTTCAAATGAACATTAAAGGGCATCAAACTTCATGAAACCATATTTTGACCAAAAAGTGAATTAAAATATTTACTTGATGCTTCTCGACTCTAAAAAGACCAGAAGCAACACTGGAAAAACTGAACACTGTGTTAATATTTAGAGGAAAACATATATTAATAGATGTGATTATATTTAATGATTTTAAATAGGATTCCTATGTTTTAAATGTTATAAAAATATATTTTATTGAAGAAAATGATCATTTTAAAGCAACAGATCCAGAAGTAGAGATAAAATAAAAATGGTCAACATTCTGATGAGAACAGCTGAGGCCTGCTTTAAAACCCGTCATATTTTATCTTTGCACACATGATTATAATGAAGCTGTTCTAATAACCTAAACAACAACAACAACAACGAGAAGATGAATCCGACTTTTGGGGCCAAACCAGAAAACCAAAGAAAACAGTAGGAGTGGGTGAAACCTTCCCTCTGCATGTCCGAGCATCTGCAACGAGGAAAGCCGTCTAATCCCTGCTTGTTGAACTGCCTTCATCCCTGTTCCTGTGGGAATCGCTCTCCACTAATACTTTCAGCTGTTTATTGCCTTTGATGGCTTTTGGACTGTTTAAGAAAATAAAACGTCACACAGTTCTGGACTTTTACGTTTTATTTTCTTAGAATTTTATTTTTTTTATGTCTGCATGTTGTGTAGAATGAATTCTGTTTTTATTTATTTTTGAATAAATGTTTATTTCTTCTGAGTGTCTCCTTGCATGCCTGCTCTGTGTGTGCTCGCTGGTGTTTGATTTCCCTCTTGGTCCCGCCTCCTCTCCGACTCCGGGGGTGACGGGGAGGACGCTGGCTGCCTTCATCTTCATGGGAAATCGCTGCACAAATGTCGTTCCTTTGGAGAGTTTCAGAGTGGGAAGAGATGGAAATGATGAGTTTATATTAGGGGTAAACGGATCTATAGTTCAGCCGATGTTTACCGTTCTCCATATATGGGCATCGGCCCGTTTACTCCTTAGCAAAGCCCATTTAAAGCCAGGCACGTCTACGGTTTCATTCACATTCAGCTAAAAGCTGCAGGTCAGCTAACATTTAGTTTCTTTGGGTTTGTTTGAAGAACTTTATTTAAACGTCTGATTTTAACGCTGAACTGTGCACAAAATGAAGACGCAACAGTTGGTTTCATTCAGAGTTTTCAAACGGATTCAGCTTCAGGAATGTGGTGCATCAAATGATGTCATCGGGGATAGTTTATTACGTTAATGAGGTGGAAACGGTCTAGATGTCGGCCATGAAAATCAGCAGCACACATGGGCAGACCATAACCTCCACGTATCGGTATCGGCAATAGAAAAAAACCATATCGGTCGGCCTTTAGTTTCCGTCTCACTAAACGTTGTTGCTGCCTTTTCCCACCAGCTAAGGAAGGGAGGTGTGTGTTACTGGTAACCGCTGGGAACCAGGGGTGGTAGCGGTGTTCAGCCCCGGGAGCCCACCATCAACCCCAGCTCCTACCTGCATACACATGCCGCCTTTACTTCAGCGGCATGGACCCCAGGTTGGGAACCACTGCGTTATAACATGAGTAGTTGTTCTGTCTAACGTTGTTGTACTAAACTGAAGTATGGGTTCTGCTGCATCACTCAGTCGGTCTGGTCCAGCACTAACACCTAACCAGATCACTAAAACTAATCCTAACCTGTTTATTCTGCTTTTGCTTGGTTTGGTTTGTTTAAATTTAAAAATCAAACTAAGGATCCCACCTGAGTTAAAACAGAAACCTGCTTTTAACTGAACCCGTCTGACCCTAAACCTACTAACCAGGGTGCTGACATTCAGAGGGCTGAAGGTTCAATTCCCACTCAGTGGCACAGTCGTCGTGTCCTTGGGCAAGGCTCTTCACCCTCTTCGCCAGCCGGTGGTGGTCGGAGGGACCGTGGCTCCTGTCGGCAGCCAGGGCAGCTGTGGCTATGTTGTAGCTTATCACTACCCGTGTGTGTGAGTGACTGATGTGTTGTAAAGCACCTTGGGCGGTTCTAGGAGGCGCTGTGCAGATCCAGGCTGTTGCCTGGCTGTGACGCTGGCTTCTGCCCTGTGGAGGAGTTCTGTCCCATTCTTTACAGAACTGTCTGACGCCTCCATGACTTGTGTTACTGCGACTCGTCACACCCCAGGAGTCGTTGGGATCATCAGGATGACCTCTGAACTCTCCCATGGAGCCGTTTGAGTCACAAGCTGAGGCTGTTCGATGTGTTGCTTCTTGAGCTCTTTTAGCCGGCTTCCTGTTGTCCGAGTAGGGGTTTCTTGTTTCTGCAGGTCTGCGTGTGGCTGCTGGAGGAGCCGAGCGCTCGCCGTAAATAACCTGGTTCAGGTTTTGCTCCCTTAGTGAATGAAGCCGTGGTTGGAAACCTGCATCTTGTGTTTACTCAGGTTATCGGCGTCTGACGTTTGTCTGCTGATCTGAAACTTTTAACTGTGACAAAAAGAGATAAATCTCGTATCACAGAGCCGCAGCTGGAGGCCAAAAGTGGAAATTCTGCTTGGTTTGCAGCATTTTTGTTCATGAAAAGTGTCTCATTACAGAATCACCAGTTAACTGAATAATTCACTAATAACCCAAGTTTAGTTTTGGTTGTAACCTTTAAATCTGAGTTCATGAAATAACTCATCGTGTGATGATGTCATTAACCACCATGTAACCACTGAACTCGCTCATGTGCCTGCCTTTCCACCTCTCACCCCCCACCCCCTCCTGCATGTGGGCGCAGCATGAAGCGAGCCAGCTCTCTGGGTGTGCTTAACCTGCTGGACAAGACTTCCAGAGATCCCTACCAAGTAAGGACTCCATCTAGAATTCCCAGTCTAAAAGTCGTCGGAGGATGGAAAAGTTTTAGCTGAAGGGCTTTAAAACTAAATGTTTTGGTGTGTGGTCGGGGGAGGGGGGGGGGGGGGGCGGCGGCGTGAAAGGGCAGCCTCGCCTCTGTCAGTGTTTGAATGTGAGAGTGTGTGAATGTTATTGCTGCTTGTGTTAACCCTCCCACTATCCTAATGGCCGTGACCCCGCGAGGAAAGTTGACCTTTGAGCAGGATGGATGGTTCATCCCTTGAGGTCCACGTGACAGGGGTGAGCAGTGAGCACCACCTCACCCCTGCCATGTGGACCTCAAGGGATAAACCATCAACCCTGCTCAAAGGTCAACTTTCCTCGCGGGGTCACGCCCATTAGGATAGTGGGAGGGTTAAAGGGACAATGTGTAGGTTTTAACCATTAATCTCTGGAAATATCCATCAAAATATTGTTGAAAATGAATGAAATGATTCTCAGTTGTTGAAAAATATTGGTCGATTCTTAACATATAACCATACATATCAGGTCTAAAATACATGGGAGCGGGTCTAAGTTTCAGGGCATCGCCATTTTAGATGCCATGTTTCCTTCTACGGGAGCCATCGAGGACAAAATGCATTACTAATTAGTAACAAATTACAAAACTTTCACCATTCCTAAACGTTGTTGTTTTACACATTTGCCTCTTCACTCGTTGCCACAGATGAAAGGGAGCCTGGTGTGCTCGTAATTTTTGCTGAAGTTTGCACTCCCTACAGCTTATTGACCCTAATGGGCATCCGTTGTTAAGTTTTTACTCCAACACTAAAATACAGCTTCCTTGCAACAATTTAGGTATCTACTGCCCCCTATCACCAGGAAAAATACGTATTGTCACTTAAACACACACCTGTGTGCTCCAGAGGAGTTCTCACTCTGGTCTGAATGCACAACAACACGGGCCGGCTCCTGAGAAGGTCACAGAAACTAGAAGGTTGCCACGGTCCGAAAGGGGCTGATCAGTTTAACCTGAGATGTAGGTGGGCGGGCCTTCTTTTGCCCTCTGGGTATTTCACCAATACGAGAACAAAGTGAAAGTAAAACAAACTGGGCTTTATGCAGCAACTTTTAAAGATGATTAAATCTAAAATAAGTTTAATTATTGAACATATTTTCAGCTCTGATCTCTTACTTCCTGTTTCCTTCAGGAACGAAATAATCGTCTGAGAAAAAACCATGACCTCAGTGCCAGCCACACCAACCTGGCGCCTTGAAGGACATGACCTTTGACCTGCCCGTGCTGTAAATAGTTGCTTATGGAAGCCTCGTCTGTCCCGTACTCTGCTTCAGCCTCGCACAAAGACGTGGTCCTCCCCAGGTTTAACCTTTGACCTGAGAGGGGTTTGTGCTGCTCTGGGTTCTGTACAGATGTGTTCTCTGTGATTGTGTGCTCATCTATTTATTAAATTTGGACTTATTTCAAGCTATGCTAGTGCTTGTTTGAAGGCAGAAACAATCAGGAAGTTTTAGTTTTATAATCGTTTTGTTCAAAACACAAATGTGAACCGGAGCAAATGGGTGGTTGTGGTCGGATTTAAGGGTGTTTCTGCGTAAAGATGATAAACAACAGCTTCCTGAACAGCCTTGCTGCAGAGAAATAGTCAATAGGGCTAATTAATCTGATCTTAGATCTGGGAGATAAGATGGCGCGGTGCTTTTAGCGGTCTCCATACAAATTCAGCCTTTTCAGGACATCGCACAGACGTCAGCATATCGCGACCGCTTCGCTGGTGAGTGACGTCACCGATCAGCACCAAAGAGTTTTATTCTGTTGAGGACCAAGAGAGCTGCTGTGTGATGTACAATGTGGTGTTCAATGACTAGAAGAAGCACCGTTTTATACAGTGCTCTGTGAGATTACAAAGCCGGAAGTGGTGGTGATGGTGGGGGTGGTTTTTTTTTTAATCCCGGCTATTTTAAAGCGGCACCAAAAGTGTTTACGTGCTTCTGCTTCACAAGCCACTTCTTCTAATTTGACTACTGTCGGTTGTTTTGGACGACAGCTGCTGATGTCATTTCTTACGTGGGTTACAACCAATCAGTGTCAGTTAGCCAAGGGTTTCACTTAGCTACTCTACCAGGCCCTTCGAAGTACCTACACCTGTTCAGGTCCTCCGATGGCCCGGAAAACAGCCAGTTCCACCGGCCCGGTGAAGTGGAGAAGAGTTCCTGTTAAATTACCCTGACGTTCCAGTAGTGGAAATACGCCTTATTTCTCTAAACTGAGGCTGTTCAGGAGGCCATCTACAATAGGCTAGATTCATTATATTTTTTTTAAAGTTTCACACAGAAATGGTCTGAAACATCTGTTCAATTAGGGCTGGGCGAGAAGGCCTAAAATCAACATCACTGGACGTTAAGTAGTTCAGCTCAATAACGATAAATGGACGACAACTGCGCAAAAACAAGTGGTCCACTAGATGGCGCTGTTTCGTGTATTACGCTAGGTCTCGTCATGTGACTCGAGGTGGTGCAGCTTCTTTAAGGGACATAAAAGTCGCCAGCCCACACACACCTTTACATTTTTTTACTACCAAATTTATTGACATTGGAGAAATTATATCTGTTAGTCAGAAATTTTGATAACGATAAAATGTTGATTATCGCCCAGCCCTGTGTTCAGTGATGAGCTGTAAGCTTTTCAAGTGAAAGGATTTATTTAAAAGGTGTTTATTCATTCTGGCCAATAAAACACCCAGGTTTTTAACTTCAACCTTCCATTTTTAATGTTGCTACGATAACCCACCACTTTCAAGACCATTTGAGTTTTATCTCCTCCTCCATCTTTTTCATAGGCCCAATCCCAACACTCGCGCTGCGGTCTTCAGCAAAGTGCACTTGGAGGAAGTGCAGAGTAAGGTTTTGAGTGTGTGGTACGTAAGTGTGCAAATAATCTCCGAACTGGGACAGTGACCGTTGTGTCATTGACCACGATGCCTGCCAGTATGCCGGTCGCTGTTTGTGCTACTTTTAAAAAAAATCTTTATTAACAACTTTCAAACAATTGACACAATTTTACATTCATTGCTGTCCACATTAAATATCATTAATCATCTTTAAATTATTTTTCTTTCATTTCAGAAAAGGCATTTGAGCCATTGTCCACTTTTTTCAATTCCCAGGCAGCAATTGATTGAGGGTAATACCTTTTGTGGATTGTGTGGATCAAGGGTGCAAAAGGGGCGTGGTCAACTTCTGCACTTGTAAAAGGGGACACCCTTCACCAGGAGTATCCCTTTCTGGTCCTGGAGGGCTGGTATCCAGCACATTTTAGTGGTTCCTCTGCTCCAGCACACTAGACTCAGTGGTTGAATCAACTGTGCAGCAGCTCATCAGGCTCTGCAGAAGCCTGTTAATCACCTGCTGATTGAAATCAGGTGTGTTGAAGCTGTAACGGAATTGAAGTGATGTAACTATCTAGAGTTGTATTTTAATACACTGTAAGTAGATCACTTATTTATAATCAGAAGAATAGGCTGTTTTTATCATCAGGGAGTTTAATTAAACACTCTGTATTGACTTTGAGACAAGAAAAGAGAGAGAGTTGGGATCATTTGAGAATCTTTAATTTCTCAATTATAAATTCTAAACAATCTTCCAGGACTAACTCTGTGATGGATGAAAATGGATTTGGATGTTGTGTTGGTGTGTGTGTGTGTGTGTGTGGCTGGTTCAGACTCCTTAGGCTGACGTCATTGAATCTGGTCGTCTTTGTTATGACTAGATATCACAAGGCTTATAAAGTGATGACATGAGCCGCTATTTTGCCGTGTACGTACCCAGTGGGGGGCCTCTCAGGTAGATCAGGAAATGCCAGGTCTGGAGACCTCGGATGTACGCTGGAGCTGTCGGTGCAGCGGTCGCAACGTTTCAAAGCCCGTCTGGAGGGTCGACCCCGGTACCAATTGACGGCGTCAGCAGGTGCTCTTATTTTGAAAGGATGTCGTCTGGTTGTTAAACGACGAAAATCTCCAGCTTCACAGTTCTTAGTTTAAAGAAGAAAACACATCTGGCCAGGCTGTGCTTTTCTTTAGGATGACGGTGAATAGAACTGAAGTCAAAATGGAACTGAGCTTAAAATGGCGTTGCCTTGTTTTATATCTCTGAATTGTTGATAAGTTGGAGTAAAGTGGATTGGACACTTTAAGTCAACACCAGATTCTCTTGCGGCAGCCGAAAGCTCTGATTGGTTGGAACAATGTGTCATGCGTTTCTATGGAGATGAGGATCAGTATGTCTGTGCAGTAGTCCTGTTTTCATTAAAGAGCAAGTCACCCCTTACAAGAAGCGTACTTCACTCCCACTTCATGTTTGAAAAATGCAACAAATGCTGTTGCCTAGCAGACCGAGAGGGTGGAGCCACTAACAAATACACATACTCACAACACTGTGACATCATAATGTACCAGTTTACATCATAGCATACCTCTTAGCCAATAGCGGTGGCAGATTTAAATTCAAATGCAGTGAAGAGTTTTTACCTGACAACGGCACAACACTGACAGTTTCAGGCAGAAAATTTAAATTTTAACTAAAATGCACTAAAGTGCCAAACTATTGACTACACGTGTCTGCAGCACGATTAGACACGCATTTATATAGTTTATCAGAAAAATATAGTCTATTTGGGGGTGACTTGCTCTTTAAACATAAATCATGACATATTTATTTCACAGATCATTCACTTGATTATTGTTGATCAACATCTGTTTTGCTTAATAATTTTAATCACAAATAAAGTACTTTGATTAAGTAAAGCTTCTTCTCCTCCTTCGGACTCTTCTCCTGGAATGTAAACAGTCTGAGGAACACCCGACCTTGGTTTTTCTACACGGGTGTTATTGTGCACAGGGGGCAGCTGTGTGGAGTTGAAAATAATGAACTTCATAACCTTACAAAGCAGTTAAAACCAATAAGTGCTGGACACCGGCCCTCCAGGCACAGAATACTGCTGCCCTACATACGCACCCCTGGACTGGAACACTCAATTGAAGGGCGCAAGGGTGGAAATGTGAGCAGTGGTGCCCACAAGGGGCGGCCATGGCTACACTTTCCCAGAGTTACCATGAGGATCAATTTAGTGTGCCACACCAAAATTTTCTCTGGCCCCATGGCCACCCCTGTTAGACTGTTCTGGGGACGCCACTGAGTGCGAGTATTGGGATTGGGCCCTAGACTCTGGTCTCTTTAGGTGATTCAGCATGTTGAACGAGAAGTTTTAAAGTCACAAACCAACGAGCCTCGCTAGCTTTAGTTTCGTTTTTCTCATTTAAACCAATGAGAACTGAGTGGAACTCAGTCTGTGTATAACAACACTTTGATGTAAAGCCGAGCTTTAGATGGTTATAAACTGTATTTATGTTGATGGTTTCAGCTGCTTCTGTCTGTAAATTCTGTCCTGATGTTTTTTAAATGATGTTGTTTTGTTGCACACGCCTGTCCGCTCAAACAGGTCATTTATTAGCTTACAAAAAATGCTTCCAGGTGTTTCCTCACGACAACGCTCTAACATGTGAGTAAAGCTGAACCAAAATATAGATTTATAATGGTTATGTAAAGGTTTTCAAACTAAACAAAAACACTAAACATCATCATAACTGGTTGTTTTCCCTGTTATTTTGTTCTAAATATAATATATTTATCATGGTTATCTGAGAAGATCCCCAAACAATCTCCAGTGCTTTATAATCTTTATTTAAAGCAAAGTTCACAATGCCTTTAAACAGGTGTTTCTAGTATCTGTACACATCTTATGTTAGTTGTAAGAGTCTTAAGTCAGGTTTCTCCAGTTAAAGATCCGAGCTGGAGCATTAAAGACCAGGGCCTCATTCATCAAGCTTGCTTATGCACAAAACGGGGTCGGAAAACTGCGTAAGCTACTTTCCACGCAAACTTTGGGATTAATGAAAGAAAACTTAGTGGAAAAATGTGCGCAACTTTATTTGTTTGTCTATTTTGGACATGGAGAGCTCCTGCAGTGCTGCTGCTGAGAAGGATACAATTATGAAATCCTGCAGCATTATCACTTGTACCGCTTCGTTTTCACACACACACACACACACACACACACACACACACACACACACACACACACACACACACACACACACACACACACACACACACATATTCTGTGTGAAAACGAAGCGGTACAAGTGATAATGCTGCAGGATTTCATAATTGTATCTTCTCAGCAGCAGCACTGCAGCTGCTCTCCATGTCCAACATGTGTGTAAGCCAGGTCCTTAGCCAACTTAAAGTTGCGCACATTTTTCCGCTACGTTTTCGTTCATAAATTCCAAAGTTTGCGTGGAAAGTAGCTTACGCAGTTTTCCGACCCCGTTTTGTGCGTAAGCAAGCTTGATAAATGAGACCCCTGCTTACACCACCTTCAGCTCAGCAGACTGGTCCTGATCAGTAGGTCTACAGATGTATTATCTTGAATGAGTCATACGGCACATCACTTTACAGCTTTCATTAATGAATGAGCAGGTCTGGTGTCAACACAAAGAACGGTTTTCAGTTACGATGGACGTTAACCACTAAATTAGGCCTAAAAGGAGCATTATGTAAGAATTCTACTGTATCGTGTTGAAATGAAAGTTGCACTTAAACAAATTTCATTCTTAATCAGCTGGGGGTTGTCAGTTTTTCTCCTTTAAAAAAACGAAAGAGAGACATTTAGTGTTTATATCAGTGAGTTTATATGAGTGACTTTGTGAGGTTGCCGTGTCTCAGGTGAGCTATCTGCAGCTCCGGCATTTGTAAATCAACACCAGCAGCAAAAAAGCTGTACAGTTGTTTAAAGAACTGAAGCCAGTAAACAGGAGCGACACAGCAGTTATTTCTTCTACTCCTACGAAGTCACTACATCTTTCTGTTTTACTCTAATACAGGGTGAAGCAGGCTAGAGGCTAACAATTGAGCTAACAACGTTAATGGTGGATTAGAAGACAATAGTGTGCTGTAAGAACATCTCAAACTATTTTTTCAATTAGCAACAACGCAGTGTTACAGCTAAATGTATGTGTGAAGTGAACAATGAGTCATTCGTGGCATTTTACTTTATTGCGTCGTTCAGAACTGTAGCAGACAAGCTAAATGCAAGACGGCAAACAACAACACTTCCTCCAACACCAGAGAAATATTACTGTAATAAATGTAGTAAGTGCTCCCTACCGTAAAACACCCAAGAGTGCCAACACCAGATATGAAAATGAATTAATCTAGAGTCTTTTGGTTCTGATCCGTAACTGGCCACAGCCATGAAACTCACTGAGCAGACGTGACTGCAGACACAAATTTTGACCACAGAATGTCATTCTTACTTCATTCTTACATATTGCACCTTTAATATTTCACTTTTCCTGCCATTATAGTTCAAATTTCTGAATCTAAAAAAGCTAAAAGTGAAATAAATCTTTTGTTTATTTGTTTTCAATTAGTTAACTTATTTCACCTTACTTTGTCTAAAGTAAATTTGCAACAAGTTTTAGAACTGATCATGAGGTCAAGCTGTTCCTGCACACTTAGAAATGCGAAACAACTTCATAATGTTTGAATGTAAATGAAAGGTTGGTCTGTTTTTGTAGGCAAGGGGAAGGTTCAGCTAACAGTTTGTTGTTCTAATGTTTCATTGATGTGATTTCTGCTCCAAGCCGTCAGGCTGCCATGCAAATGTGTTCTCAGGAGAAAGTTTTAAACATGAAGACATTATTTGTTTATGCACAGACAGACAGAAGTAAGTGGAAGAGATCAGTGAGTGATTTATTTAATACCACATGATTAGTTCTAAGTTGCACTTATTAAACATAAATCAGTCATTGTGTGTGTTGTGTGTAAAAACGTTCCTGGTTCAAACTGGCCTCGTCCCTCTTCTCTACCCTTGGAGAAGCTGGTGAGGAAGTTTTGGAGACTGGCTGCTCAGGAGAAACTTGATCACATTGAAGGAATGGGCACAAGTTTAAATAAATGTCATGAGAATATGCTGTTTTCTTCTTAAATGCACTGTACTTTGCAGGAAACTTGTTTGCTATTTGATTTTTCTACTACAATTTTGTTGTGAGCTGAAGTGACATTTGTCTTGAAACGGATCATCTTAACTTCATTAGAAGAATAAAATTATCACAGTAATGATGCTTCCTGTGTGGTCTTTGACCTTTTACTTATTGTACTTTTATTTATTTATTTATTTTTAACTTTATTTAACAAACAATGAGTATACAACATAGAAACGAATGAAGTACACGAAACAGAATATGAACACACAAAGCCAGGGGTAAAAGAGTACTTTTATTTATTTTGCCCTACTTTAGTAAAGACAACTAACTTTACGTCTGTGCTGTGACATCACAACAGACAGTAAAACATCTCAGTCGCTCGTGGAAGCACGTGATTCCGGATCTGCGCTCCGGTTCGTCAAGCTCCCTGTCAATCATTCTGGTGGGCGTGTCCTAATGGGAGTTTGTGGTAGAAGAGGAGAAGCAGAAAACATCCGCTTCCAAGGAAATGTCTTCAGTTCCAGATGGGAAGAAGCTAGTGCGCAGCCCCAGCGGGCTGCGGATGGTGCCTGAAAACGGCGCCTTTAACAGCCCGTTCTCGCTGGACGAGCCGCAGTGGGTTCCGGACAAAGAGGTGAGACAAGTAACGATCTGAAGAGCGGAGAACCCGAACAAAAGCAAGCGGAGAACGAAAACTTTCCATTTCCGGTCGGTGCTTTCGAAATAAATGCTGCAGAATAACCCACACTTGTATAGCGCGTCTCAGAGTAAGGACTCCAAAGCGCTTTACCTTACACACAAATGTACCGAAGATGCCACATTTTTACAATTGTTTTCATAAGAATCTTTTCTGATTGTTTAATGTAAGATCAAATTCATAACGAGTCTGTCATTAAAGGAGTTTAGTGGTGGTAGTGTTCAAAAAAGGTAAAATATACTACATATTTAAATAACTAACCTGTGTTCGTGTCAAATATCACTGCAGTATTAGGGACAGTAGTAGCTCAGGAAGTAGAACGAGTTGTCCAGTAATCAGAAGGTTGTAGGTTCGATCCCGGCTCCCACCAGAGAGTTCAGCTGCTGTGTCTTTGGGCAAGACACTTAACCCGCCTTGCCGGCTGGTGGAGACCGGTGGCACCAGCGTTTGGCAGACCTCGCCTGTCAGTGAGCCCCTGGACAGCTGTGGCTTCATAGCCAGCCTGTGAATGTATGACTGATTAAATACAGGCCATTTACCATTTTACATAGCCTGGCAAGCCATATGTGAATATTTAGTATGGCAATGACCCATTGATGGCTCTTGGTTGTGGGAGGGGATCTATGGTTGACTTTGAAACTGTCTTCCCATGCTGTTGGACATAAACAATGTGACATACTCACTGCTATGGATGTCAAGTCAGCGGAGCCGTACATTGCGGAAGAAGAATACATAATTTTTCCTATATTAAGTACCTCTATCTGCTCGACTCAAAGAAAAGCCAAAGTCTTAAGTATTCCAAAGTTGATACCAAAGCTGTTTTATACAAACCATTGCCATCTTAGTCTTGCTCCGTCGCAGTAATATTCAACCCGCCAAACTGATGGAGCGATGTGATTGGCCCTTTAAACTGATAGAGCGATATGATTGGCCCTTTAAACTGATAGATCAATGTGATTGGCCAGGCACTGAGTAACCAGGGCTGCGGAGGTTCCATTGGAGCGTGGCGTGACCAACATGCAGAGTAAAATCAGTTTGCTTTGGCAACTGGCGGTCTAGATTTCTAGGCTATATTTTACATGAAACATGCATTGCCAAAAATGTTTAAAGGACTAAATATTACATCTAAATGTATTCAAATTAACATTCTCTTGCATTTTTATTTTTCTCATCGTCATATAAAACCAGTAAAGTAAAATGATAATGTATGTATTTGAATACTGTAATTTTGTTGTTAAATCGTGCGTGCTTTTATTTTTAGAGAATTAAAAGTTCCATATCCGGGTTTCCTCATCTGACCGCGGCTAGCTTAATGTGGTTCTGGACACGCAGCTCTCCCCTGGTCTGTCTGACTGGGCCTTACGGGCTGTTCCATCTGCAGACACCAGTCCGCCCACAACTGGAACCAGTCGACAGAACCAGTCCTTGTTTTCATCCACGTAGCAGTTCGTAAACGTGGAAAATGTCCCGCTGTTGCGCGTTAGCCCGCCGTCACGTACGCACTTAGCTGATGATAATAGCATCAGTTCATCCTCCAGTACAGGAATGTTTCAGTCTCGGTTTGGACAACAGGCAAAGACACGGAAAGTCCACAGTTTACTCAGTTGGCACGCGGCTGATCTGCTGCTGACCGAATTCATCTGGATATTTGCACAATCTTTAGACTTTGGAGCGCAGCTGGGATATTTCTGTCCACGTAGCTTTTAGCAGCTGTTGATCCGTGTGGATCCCAGCCGAACCGAGCCCAGCTGCTGTAGAGGGAGATGACATGCGGTCAGAGGCAGTCATCCTGACGAGTAAAATGCTAATAATGACACAAAAGCAACGTGTCCACTGACTGGTTTAGACATTATTTTTCTGTATGATTTCAACTTGTTTATGGTCAAAATAGCTGAATTTACCAGTTTCCTGTTCAAATCAGCAGCGTAGTTAGAAACGCATGTATGGCCATATATGTATACTAGATTCATTACACACAACGGAAGTTTTTATTTATTTATTTATTTATTTTTTTTTTTTTACACACAACGGAAGTTTTTTTTTTTTTTACACACAACGGAAGTAGTTCAAGCCTTTTATTGTTTCTAATATTGATGATTTTGGCGTACAGCTCATGAAAACCCAAAATTCCTATCTCAAAAAATTAGAACATTTCATCTGACCAATAAAAGAAAAGTGTTTTTAACACAAAAAAAGGCAGCCTTTAAATAATTATGTTCAGTGATGCACTCAATACTTGGTCGGGAATCCTTTTGCAGAAATGACTGCTTCAATGCGGCGTGGCATGGAGGCAATCAGCCTGTGGCACTGCTGAGGTGTTATGGAGGCCCAGGATGCTTCGATAGCGGTCTTAAGCTCATCCAGAGTGTTGGGTCTTGTGTGTCTCAACTTTCTCTTCACAATATCCCACAGAGTCTCTACGGGGTTCAGGTCAGGAGAGTTGGCAGGCCAATTGAGCACAGTAATTCCATGGTCAGTAAACCATTTACCAGTGGTTTTGGCACTGTGAGCAGGTGCCAGGTCGTGCTGAAAAATGAAATCTTCATCTCCATAAAGCTTTTCAGCAGATGGAAGCATGAAGTGCTCCAAAATCTCCTGATAGCTATTTGCATTGACCCTGCCCTTGATAAAACACAGTGGACCAACACCAGCAGCTGACATGGCACCCCAGACCATCACTGACTGTGGGTACTTGACACTGGACTTCAGGCATTTTGGCATTTCCCTCTGCCCAGTCTTCCTCCAGACTCTGGCACCTTGAGTTCTGAATGACATGCAAAATTTGCTTTCATTCGAAAAAAGTACTTTGGACCACTGAGCAACAGTCCAGTGCTGCTTCTCTGTAGCCCAGGTCAGGCGCTTCTGCCGCTGTTTCTGGTTCAAAAGTGGCTTGACCTGGGGAATGCAGCACCTGTAGCCCATTTCCTGCACGCGCCTGTGACGTCCCACTGAGGTGCCTTGATACAGCACTCTGGGAACAGCCTATTCATTCAGAAATTTCTTTCTGTGTCTTACCCTCTTGCTTGAGGGTGTCAATGATGGCCTTCTGGACAGCCGTCAGGTCGGCAGTCTTACCCATGATTGTGGTTTTGAGTAATGAACCAGGCTGGGAGTTTTTAAAAGCCTCAGGAATCTTTTGCAGGTGTTTAGAGTTAATTAGTTGATTCAGATGATTAGGTTAATATCTCGTTTAGAGAACCTTTTCATGATATGCTAATTTTTTGAGATAGGAATTTAGGGTTTTCATGAGCTGTATGCCAAAATCATCAATATTAGAAACAATAAAAGGCTTGAACTACTTCAGTTGTGTGTAATGAATCTAATATATATGAAAGTCTAAAGTTCATCAGTACATTACTGATGAACTTTATCACAATATGCTAATTTTTCGAGAAGGACCTGTGTATACACACACACACACACACACACACACACACACACACAAACACACACACACACACACACACACACACACACACACACACACACACACACACACACACACACACACACACACACACACACAAGGAACGGAACCACAGATGTTACATGGAAGGTCCTGACCATGCATGGAGGGTTCCATTCCAAATTTAGGGCAGGGTTTTGGATACCAAGTAATTTTATGTAATATCTATTTTATATAGCAATAATTTAATTTACACTAGTACTAACTGTATACTTATTAGTCAAAACTGGAAACAAAGACATCAACAGCTATGTTGTTACCATAGACATTATAATTACAGATATCTGTAATAACAACTGCACTAGTAGGAATTAAGTGTCAGATATTTTACAGTCCCCAAAAACCCGAGGGGGCATTTTAAACATTATGCAGACTGAATATGTATTCCTGTCAGAGATGGGGCTGTGGCATGACCAAGTCCACTCCGTGATGCTGTTCTGCTCAGCAGCTGAGCCAGGTTCATTCACTGTGCTGGTTGAAACCAGCCGGTTTAGCTGCTGAACTGAAGAAAACACGGCATGGAGATGACTTGTTGATGCCACAAGTTCCATCTGGTTCCTGATATCTATAATTCTATTGCTCCTAGTAGAAATGAACATTACAGAGACATCCGTAAGAGTATTTTTATCGAATGAATATTTGGTATATCTTGACATGTTCATTCTAGATTGTAAAAGTCATTCAGTTATAAAAATCTTTAACGTTCTAGATATTATAGAACAGAACTGCTTTGTGGAACATAAAAGTAACATTATAGTTACTTTGCTAGGTAACTAATTACTTTTATGATGTGTTAGCTGAGTTACTAACTCGGTTACATTTTGGAAAATGTAAGTTTAACTATAACTAATAGCCTTTTTAACGTGAGATGCCCAACCCTGGTAGTGCCAGTTTTGGGATTGGGCCTTCAACTGGAAACAGAACTTTGGTGCATGCCCACTGTCGACATACATGTTTTATCCTACATGTGCTGCTCATGCCGATGTGCCACGGTCTGCCTAATGTATTTAATGACTGTGCAACAAATAGTCTTTCTGAACGACCATAACTACGCAGTGATAACACACGAGGGGAGGCAGGCAGTGCCCTGCCTCTCTGATAGGGGCAGTGCTGAGCTCCATAGGCTCAGGTACGTGCTGCCTGCTCTTGCACACGCTCATTTAAATGTATTTCTGTTTTAGGATCATTAGGATTTGTTTAGATCTGTGTGAAGTACTGTGATCTTTCTGTGACGCGGGGTTGTGGCACCCGCAGGTCTGTAATAGTGTACTAGTTAACATTTGCTCTGACTACGTAGAAGATTGTGGCTCAATCTGAAGGATTCATTTCAACTGGATTTTCAGTCAGAACAGGAGATATTAGAGGATGACTTTTACAACAGAGAGATGGAGGTGTCAGGTGCATAAACTCATAAAGGTGACATCACACATGATTTTCAAGCGTAAATAAGAGCGCTCTGCCATTCAAATGAATACATTTAGTCTAATTTGCTCCAATGTTAAATATTATTTTGCTTTTCTTATTTTCTTCGGGGCGACGGTGGCACAGGAGTTTAGTGCTCGCCCCGTAATCGGAAGGTTGCAGGTTCGAGCCCCGCTCAGTTTGTCACTGTCGTTGTGTCCTTGGGCAAGACACTTAACCCACCTTGCCTGCTGGTGGTGGTCGGAGGGACCGGTGGCGCCAGTGCTCAGCAGCCTCGCCTCTGTCAGTGCGCCCCAGGGCAGCTGTGGCTACATTGTAGCTCATCCCCACCAGTGTGTGAATGTGTGTGTGAATGGGTGAATGACTGATTGTGTTGTAAAGCACCTTGGGGGGTTCCAGGACTCTAGAAGGCGCTATATCAAATACAGGCCATTTACCATTTAGTGTTTTGTTGAACAGTATGAAAAAGATTCAATCATGACTAAGAAGTTTTAAAACGATAAACCGTTTCATTCAAGTTCAAAATGAAAACACAAGCTTCTACACTGTTTTTGGTTCGTGTATGTTTACGTCTGACTCCAGAGCAGTCGGTGGCTCCCCAGTCATGAACCTCACCGCACGTCACTGGAATGTGCTCAGATCAGCACGCTTAACATCCTGTCCCCCCTCTCTCCAGTGTCCGAGATGCATGCAGTGTGACACCAAGTTCGACTTCATCAGGAGAAAGGTCTGTCCTGCCTGCAGCGCCACACTGACACCACTCAGCTCGGGGTTTAACGAAGTTCTCTTGTTTCCTGTTTCTGATTTTCTGTGAAGAAACTCCTTGATTTAAGGGAAGTTCTTTTCCTCACAGTCATCTGCTTTAGCTGTCCCCTTTCAGAACTTCCTGTGGGAGAAAAACAGAATTACATTCTCACAGGTGGTTCTTATTTGTTCTGTTTCAACAAGCTCAGGGATTTCTCTCCTCAGCTTTCACTTTAAGAATCTGAAATTAATCAAATTAACTCATTCACTGCCAGCCGTTTTCTGATCGCTAAAGCCCTTCGCTGCCAGCGTTTCTCACCGTTTTCATTGTTTTTTAAGAGTCACAGAACGTTGCGCGCTAGGATGATGTCGACGCCAAAACAACCAAAACTAAGCAAAGACTCGCCTCTTACGTCAGGAAGAATCCACGCATTTCGAGCGTTATCCGTTCTTTCATAATCCGTTGTCGAGTTGTGATCGGCAGAAGCTTTTCCGGTTCACGCCTCACTTTTTTTACAGCAGCGGCCCAAAACGATCGCCCAACACATGGATTTTCTGCTTCCTGATTCGTGACGTGTGATGTATGCGGATGAAGATCGGCTTTAGAGCTGAGATGTTTGTTCTCACGGTGCGGGGACTCGTCCGACGCCCACACAGAAAAAAAAATGCAAATGACGACTTTAGTCGTCAATGACAGTGAATGAGTTAAAGGAGATTTAACCCAGACATTAATAAAAGTCTCAGTTTCTTCATAGTCAAGTCCTCTTAGAGTCAGAGAGAAGACGCATTTTAAGACATTTTAAAGCAATTTTGAGTCTCTTATGATTTTTCTTTATTTACTAGTGATGAAGATAAAAATTTCCCTTCTTTGTTATCATTATAAATCCATAACATGAAGTTTTTTTTTTTTTTACCAGCGCTCTACAGCTAAATCCAGGTTGAGTTGTTAGCTTTCGCTCCACAGACGTTAAACTCAGACAGCACATTGTTAATGATAACATGAAGCCCGCTGTAGGCCGAGGCTACGAGGAGATCTCGTGTAAAAAGCGGTGTGTATTTGTCCCTGCAGCACCACTGCCGGCGCTGCGGCCGCTGTTTCTGCGATAAGTGCTGCAGCAAGAAGGTGGCGCTGCCCCGCATGTGCTTCGTGGACCCGGTGAGGCAGTGTGCTGAGTGCAGCCTGGTCTCCCAGAAGGAGGTGGAGTTCTACGACAAGCAGCTCAAAGTGCTCCTGGGAGGTGAGCAGCTGAATCTGTGCTGTCCTTTCTGCCTAATCAGTATTTTTGAAACTAAATCCAACAGATGTTCACTATGAAACTAGGATTGGGACAATATTACGTGTAACTTGTAATAAGTTTTGTAACTGTAACCTTCGTTTTGTAACTGTAACTTTCGTTTTGTAGCATGTAATTCACATTTTGTAACGGAACTTTTGCTATGTAACACGAAAATTTGATTTTGTAGCAGGTAATTCTTGTTTTTGGCTGGTCAGACAAAGCCTAGCATTGGTTCTTTGGGAAAAGAAGCTAGAATTGGGACAAAAAGTTTTGTAACACGTAGATTTAAGTTTTGCACCTGGAGATTAAGATGTTTGTTTTGAGAGTTGTGATTTGAAACTTGTACGTTTTTTTCTGCACGTTACAAAATGAAAGTTTCATGTTACAAAATGAGAATTACACGTTACCAAAAGTTAAGTGATACAAAACGAGAATCTTGTGTTACAAAACAAATGTTACATGTTACAAAACGTGAATTACATTCTACAAACGAAAGGTACGGTTACAAAACATGTTACAAGTTACAAAATGTGGTACAAGTTACCAGTGTTGGTAAAGTTTGTTTCAAAAAACAAACTAGTTCAAAGTTCAATTCTTATATTTTAAAACAAACTAGTTTGTTTCTTAGTTCATATATATATATATGTATATATTCCTCAGTGGGGAAAGCTAGATGTCACAGCAGCGATGACACTTATTACAGGAGAAAAAAGGAGAATAAAAAATAAGAAAAATGAATAAACAAGAAAACATAAATCCTGAATAGATTTTAATAATGCTGATTATACCACAAGTAATGAATACCACTGATGCCTTTTATTTAAAACTGACTTGCTCGTGTGTCATTTGGTTATTCCACATTCAGTGTTAATGCAGAAATATGTTTGTTTCCAAATTTAAAGGTTCAAAATTATATATATGTTGATAAAGAAAACGTGCAAATTTGCCGTCACTTTTTCAAAAAATATTAAGTTTGGCCCCCGACTCCGTCCCAGAGTTTCATTTCGGCCCCGTGTGAGTTTGAGTTTGACACCCCTGGGCTACAGTACATTCTCAATAACATGAGGAAAACATTATTTGAACAGTTTTTTTTAATGGAACATTATTAAACAGTCTTAGGAAGCAGGCGGAGGTAGCAAATTCAAAGTGCAATATTAAAAGTGCAAAACATTCAAAAATGTATAATCTTTCATTTTAGTCCCTTTTCAATTTTTCTGAATGAACTTTGACTCCTTCACACAGCATCGACGTAGAAGAGTAGACACCGCACCAACCGCTACTGCCTATGTTTGGCCGCATTTGCGGGTTCTACTTCTTATAAACTCTATGGTTAACAGGTTGTTGTAGCTAGGCTTTAGCTCTGGAAAAGCTCTGTCGAGATCTGGAGCTAGAACGGCGAAAGAACACGTTCATAAACCTGTTCACGCACGCCAGGACGAACGCACTCACTTTTACGTTTGTCAGGCAAAATACGAACGAGTTCAGTTCACGAAAAAAAAGCAAACAAATTCACGAACGATCGTTCAGTGAATGCGTTCGGGCACAACACTGCAAGTTACACGTAATATTGTCCCAACCCTAGCTCCATATTTCTGCCAATGGTCTGTGTCACAAATGAAAGTTGCTTGCACTCAAATGTGCTCTCCTGCTTCCAGGAGGCTCCTTTGTAGTCACTTTGGGAACATCGGAGAAGTCTGAAACCATGACGTGTCGCCTGTCCAACAACCACCGGTGAGTCCATCGGTCCGAGACTCCTTGTGTCCGTGGTGCAAATGAAACCACCTGACTGGTTGTTTGGATCCAGATTGGGGTCTCAGATTTGACAGAATTGGTTTTAAATCCTTACATGAACCCAGCAGGGGTGTTTGTGGAGATGGATGTGGTGTAGACGCCTGCTCTGGTTTTCAGATACCTGTTCCTCGATGGTGAAACTCACTTTGAGGTGGAGTTGTCTCGTATCTCCAGCATGCAGATCCTGACAGATGGGATGAGTCCAGGAGGTGAGAGAGGAAACGATCAAATGGCAGACGTTATTATTGATTTGTGCTTTTAAACATTGTGACTAAACATTGGATTGACGTTGCCTCTGACTAATCCCCCTCTCCACGTTGCCTGTGCTGCTCTGAATCTGGCTGGCGGTTCTTCCTCTGGGCTCAGACTCTGATATTCACACTTACACCAGCCTGCTGGACAGTCACTGTATCTCTGAAGGTTGGCCTCCTCCTTCTCCCACCCTCCCACCACCGCTCAGTCCCTATCATTGCTTTTTGTGTTTGCATGAATTTTTGTTTTCCCGCGGCCCGCCTCTCAAACCCCACAACTGCTCAGCTCAGGATGAAACGTTACAAAGACCTCCATGGTTGAACCTCCCGAAGTGATTCAGTCTCTGTTTGGATTTTGTTTTAAATGGATGCAACAAATTTACCTCAAGAAAGTAATTTTGTTTTTACAGAAAGCCAAGAGTTGAGATAAATAGTTGGTAAACTGAGTTTGTGAGCAGATGCTGGATTCTGCTCTAAAAGCCTGTCAGTCTGTCCTCATGCATGTCCTCATGTCTTTAGATACATCTCAACACTTTTAGTAACAGATTATTTTATAAATCCCTTTTTCTGATTGTGTTTGCAAATGTGGTGATTTCCTTCTCTCTGTTCCATCTGGGAGGAAAATATGGAGCTGGAGTTGGATAACGTTACACGTAACTTGTACCATGTTTTGTAACATGTAACTGTTATTTGTAGCATGTAATTCATGTTTTGTAACACGTAACTTTTGGTACATAAAATGAAACTTTCATTTTGTAACTTGTAGAAAAAAAAATCTATGCACAAGTTTCAAATCACAGCTTCCAAAACACACATCTCAGTCTACAGTTACAAAACTCAGAAACTCAAGTCTATGTGTTCAAAACGTTTTATTCCATTCCTACAAACATCACAGACAACGCCAGTCATTGGTTCTCTTGAGCTGACCGGAGCCAGAGTGAATGAAAGTGGCTTTGCTGGCACCCGCCATCCCACCCTGAGCCGGTGTTCCAAACGGCAAAAAGGAACACACAACGTTGAACACATCAGGGTGTTTGTTTGCATATCAGAGACGAGCACTCGTCTCTCTGATTGCTATAAAGCAGGGAGGCGGGAACAAAATGCCTGGGACACAATAACATGACGGATCTGTAAATATTGGTGGAGAAAAATCTGTGAAAGAGGACGAAAGAAAAATAAACAGCACTTCAGAAAGGTGAGATGATGAGTGAAACTAGTAACGGCAAGATGATACAAAGGCTTTGGCAAGCCGTTTTAACATTTATTCAACTATTTTATATAGCAATAATTTAATTTATCCTAGTACTAATTGTGTTCTTATTAAATGTAGGGATGCACCGATCAGGTTTTTTGCTGCCGATCACTGATACCGATATCAAAGAATGCTGATCACCGATACCGATCACGTGGATTGGCCAGAAATTTTCTACAACATTATAATGAGTGGTACAAACTACATAATCTGGGAATAAAGGAAATGTAACCTAATCTAAAATGGTCTGTATTAGGGTTGTCACGGTGTGAAAATTTAACCTCACGGTTATTGTGACCAAAATTACCACGGTTTTTGGTATTATCGCGGTATTTTTTTTAAACGTGCTACATTTTCACACAATTAAATAAACCCTGTATGTCAGGAAATATTGTCCTCAGTTTGTGTCTAAGTTTAGCCAAAAATGTGTTATTTTGTAATTATGTTTATTTGTTTACATTTTTTCCCTTTAGTCTTTAAAACACCAATATTTGCCCATAACTTCATATTTTATGTCTGTTTGATGTCATCATTTTAAAAATATTAGATCAGATGATACTCAGTACTCAAGTAGCCTTCTACTCAGATACTTTTTTACCCGGCCTTACTTGAGTAATAAACCCTATATCAGGAAAATATTGTCCTCGGTTTGTGTTCTTCCAGTGAGCTTTGCAGATGTGGGAAAATGTCATCAGGCAGTAATCATTGTTAAATTCATAATTATTCTCGGAGAGAGACCAACTCTTATCTGCCCCTGGGAGCCCCGTAATGCATAGCGTCATTTCAACATGGCGGTGTCCGCGACACGGTTTATACGCAGGTAGCGGCGCTGCGGCTGCTTTATATAGCAACTCGTTGTATTCTCCCTCAACCCAAATCCTCAGATCACGCATTTAAGCTAAAACGCTAACGTTAACTTGCTTTGCGTTGACTGTAGAGTTGTGGGTGATGGTCACTTAGATGTGTCATGAGATTTGAAGCGTTGCTGCCTTTCACAGACACTGTTTCTGCACGTGCTGCAAACAGGATAGCCGTCTTCTATAAACTGTCCCTCGCCATTCTTCAAATATCCAAAAGATGCCCGTACTTCCCACTTTGTCTTCTTTGAGGGATAATACGTAAATGTCCTGAGCGCTGCCGTCTCCTCCTTTGGCCATTATTTCAGCTTTAGCTTCAAGAAAGTTTTGGTTGTAAACAACAAAGTGCGCATGTGCCGCCGGCAACTTCAGCAGATGATACGGTGGCTGGTAAGGGTCACCGCGCCTACACCGCAGCCACGGTAATCCACCGAGATAATATAGTTTTTTAAAAAACATGACGGTTATTATTATTGTCAACTTTTTTTTTACCGGGGTTTACTGCTACACTGGTTACCGTGACAACCCTACATGATCGGTCTGCTTTGATCTAGTTTGAAAACTCCCATCAAAACCGATAGGGGCGCTATCGGCCAATTGGGATCAAATGCCGATTCATTGGTGCATCCCCAATTAAATGGCCTATATTTGTATAGCACCTTCTTAGGGTTCTACAGCCCCCCAAGGTGCTTCACAACACAATCAGGCATTCTCCCATTCACACGCTGGTGGGGATGAGCTACGATGTAGCCACAGCTGATCTGGGGCGCACTGACAGAGGCGTGTCTGCCATGCACTGGTGCCACCAGTTCCTCTCACCACCACCAGCAGGCAAGGGGGGTAAAGTGTCTTGCCCAAGGACACAGCAGCAGAGTTCTCTGGTCGAAGCCGGGATTGAACCAACAACCCTCTGATTACTGGACAACCCGCTCTCCCTCCTGAGCTAATGCTGTCCCAGTATTATTGGTCAAAATTGCAAATGAAGACATCAACAGCTATGTTCTTACTAGTAGAAATTATAACTAAGGATTGGGGATGCCCCGTTCTGATGTGGATGTCGGATATCGGCCCCAAAAAATCTGTCTTGGATTATATCGAACTGCATCATAAATCTCTGATATAAGCAGTCCGTTCCGCTTTAAATTCCATTCCAGTGATTCTATCCATCAGCGCCCAGATCCAGCGTGCAAAGTCCGCGTGATCAGAACGGTGTGTGCTAGCAAAGCAGCAAGGAACAATGTCGGCCACGCGGCTGTATTTTTTGTTCAAGTCTGAAAAAGACAGTTTGGCTTGGTGCAGCACTTGCCATGCACAAGTTTCCCGTGGTGGAACAGAACCGGGGAAGATGAATACGTCCAACCTCATCATGCGTTTGAAGCAGCATCACAAAACGTTGCAAGAGGATTTTCGCAGCGTGCGAAATTGAAACTTTAGACACTAGTTGGTTAGTGAACAATATTGCGTTTTTTCCCTCATGTCCCTAACTTCAGCTGTTCGCATTTATGCAACCAAAGGTTAATAAAAATTGGTCTTGTTTTTTTTGTACTTACTGTTGCTGGATTTTGTTTTCTGTTTGAGTAATATCACTTTCTCAAGACATACAATGAAACAGGTAAAAGTATGTATGATCTGTGCTGATGTCATATCGGATTGATATTGGTATCGGTCAGTACTGAAGGCTGCAATATCAGTATCGTATCGGACATGAAAAAATTTGTATCGGGACATTCCTACTAAGATATCCATATAAAACTGCTGCACTAGTAGGAATGAAGTTTCAGATATCTCAAAATGTCTTAAAACCTAAAGTGGCCTTATTAACATTCATTAGGCAGACTGGATGTGAATTCCAGATATCTATACTTCTATTTTTCTTAGTAGAAATAAACATTCCAAATGTCCATGAGAACATTCTTACTGAAGGAACTTTTTAGATATCTGACATGGTCATTCTAGATAGTAAGAATCATTCAGTTATAAAGAAATGTCAGTTACTTTGCTAGGTAACTAATTACTGAGTTACTAACTCAGTTACTTTTTGGAAGAAGTCATTTGTAACTATAACTATTAACTTTTTGAAGGTAAGATTTCCAACGCTGAAAACGCATAGATTTAAGTTTTATACACGTAGATATGAAGTATGTACAGTGGGGCAAAAAAGTATTTAGTCATTCTCCGATTGTGCAAGTTCTCCCACTTAAAATGATGACAGAGGTCAGTAATTTACATCATGTGAAAAAAAATCCATGAATTCACATGGCAGGATTTTTAAAGAATTTATTTGTAAATCAGGGTGGAAAATAAGTATTTGGTCAATAACAAAAATTCAACTCAATACTTTGTAACATAACCTTTGTTGGCAATAACAGAGGTCAAACGATTACTATAGGTCTTTACCAGGTTTGTACACACAATAGCTTGTATTTTGGCCCATTCCTCCATGCAGATCTTCTCGAGAGTAGTGATGTTTTGGGGCTGTCGCCGAGCAACACGGACTTTCAACTCCCTCCACAGATTTTCTATGGGGTTGAGGTCTGGAGACTGGCTAGGCCACTCCAGGACTTTCAGATGCTTCTTACGGAGCCACTCCTTTGTTGCCCGGGCAGTGTGTTTGGGATCATTGTCGTGTTGGAAGACCCAGCCACGTTTCATCTTCAAAGCTCTCACTGATGGAAGAAGGTTTTGGCTCAGAATCTCACGAAACATGGCCCCATTCATTCTTTCCTGAACACAGATCAATCTTCCTGTCCCCTTAGCAGAAAAACAGCCCCAAAGCATGATGTTCCCACCCCCATGCTTCACAGTAGGTATGGTGTTCTTGGGATGCAACTCAGTATTCTTCTTCCTCCAAACACGACGAGTAGAGTTTATACCAAAAAGTTCTACTTTGGTTTCATCTGACCACATGACATTCTCCCAATCCTCTGCTGTATCATCCATGTGCTCTCTGGCAAACTTCAGACGGGCCTGGACATGCACTGGCTTCAGCAGCGGAACACGTCTGGCACTGCAGGATATGATTCCCTGCCGTTGTAGTGTGTTACTGATAGTGACCTTAGTTACTGTGGTCCCAGCTCTCTGCAGGTCATTCACCAGGTCCCCCCGTGTGGTTCTGGGATTCTTGCTCACCGTTCTCATGATCATTTTGACCCCACGGGATGAGATCTTGCGTGGAGCCCCAGATCGAGGGAGATTATCAGTGGTCTTGTATGTCTTCCATCTTCTGATAATTGCTCCCACAGTTGATTTTTTCACACCAAGCTGCTTGCCTATTGTAGATTCACTCTTCCCAGTCTGGTCCAGGTCTACAATTCTTTTCCTGGTGTCCTTCGAAAGCTCTTTGGTCTTGGCCATAGTGGAGTTTGGAGTCTGACTGTTTGAGGCTGTGGACAGGTGTCTTTTATACAGATAATGTGTTCAAACAGGTGCCATTAATACAGGTAACGAGTGGAGGACAGAAAAGCTTCTTAAAGAAGACGTTACAGGTCTGTGAGAGCCAGAGATTTTCCTTGTTTGAAGTGACCAAATACTTATTTTCCACCCTGATTTACAAATAAATTCTTTAAAAATCCTGCCATGTGAATTCATGGATTTTTTTCACATTCTGTTTCTCACAGTTGAAGTGTACCTATGATGTAAATTACTGACCTCTGTCATCATTTTAAGTGGGAGAACTTGCACAATCAGTGGCTGACTAAATACTTTTTTGCCCCACTGTAACTGTAGCCTGAGATGTTTATTTTGAGAGTTGTGATTTGAAACTTGTACATAGTTTTTTTTTTCTGCAAGTTACAAAATGAAAGTTTCATGCTACGTACCGAAAGTTACATGTTACAAAATGAAAGTTACAAATAGAAAACATGTTGCAAGTTACAAAAGTTGGTACAAGTTAGATGTAATATTGTCCCAATCCAAGTTTCTGTATGTCCGAGATCTGAGTCCTGTTCCTTCATTTAACCCTTCAGAACCCAACCCATGTTCAATGAAAAAACAGACAACACATCAAAATGTAGAAAAAAAATATCAGAATAAAGAAGTCGAATAATTTTCAATATATGTATGGATCGAATGTCACTCAGGGTTTTCAAACTTGAATATTTGACCCAAGAAAGGAATTCTGCAGATGTTTGAAATGGGTTGTGACACCAGTGCCGCCATGGGTCTTTAAGGGTTAAATCATCTACAACACATTTTAGTAGCTCTGAGTTGAATGTGTGTGTTCACGCGTGTGTGTAGGAGGGACATCTCGGGCCAGCGGCATGCTGCTGCATTACAAACCCATGGGCTCCCAGGATGTCCAGCAGCTCCGTCTGGAGGTGGCCGATGACAAGAAGGTGGCGTCGCTCTGGCTAGCTGCGATGCACAAGGTAAACATCAGTAGCTACAGCCAAGGTCACTTCATCCCTGTAAACCGTTGAGCTAAAAGTCTGGGATCATTTGGAATTTTCCAGCTTTCCAGGTAAACTCACATTCCGAATGTAAAATCAGCAAACAGAACACACAGACGTTATCGGCGTTAGAAGTAAGGATCTGCATCAGGTACATTCATGGATTCTAGCCGTTTTGGTTTTATTAACTACTAATCCAGAAGCATGTGAACTTAGTGTAACTCTAGACCTTTGTGTGATGCTTCTGATCTTCCGTGTGTAGGATACGGAGGTTCCGATCACATTTTCTTGCTCCCGATCCGATTACAAGTCATTTGATTTTAAGAATCTGCTGATGCCGTGTCACGATCTGATATTTTGGAACTGCGTTAAGGAAAAAGGAGAACACACCAGAGTTGTTCTTGAAGTTTTTTGTAATCATTGTTTCTTTCTTTCTGTATTTGTTTTTCTTTAGTTTATCTGCCGTGAATCATCACTTGTATAGGATGTACATTAATGAGATGTGTTAAAATGAAGAATATTCATATTAATTTTAAGAATATTAATATTAAGGATATGTGTAAAAGTAGCATTTTCGCTCATATTTCATCTGGTTTACTCGGTGTGCGTCTGTTTTGAGTGACAAGGATGGCACAGCGCGACTGTCAGCAGCAGAGTCGCTCTTTTCTACTAAACACCTGTAGTGCTGCTGTTTCTGCAGCGTTAGGAAGAGAAAGCGGATCATATGGAGACTGCAGAACTCAACATTTGCAACCACAGACGCTCATCCAGTGTGAGAAATTTGCTGCTAGCTTGACACTTTTGCAGGCGACGCAGGCCCTGGGGCGCCATCTGCTGGACAGATGTGACACAAACATCAACTCTGTTTATCTGAGTTGTATAAACTAGACCGCCTTCATATTATCATTATTATTATCAACCACAACATAATCATAATGTTGTTATTTCAGAGTACAGATATCTGCAGGCTGTTGGTGTGGAGGTGTTTTAGATAATAAAACCAAAATCTTAATTTTTTTTATAACTGCCCTTTCTCTTCCTAACAGGCAGCCAAACTGCTGCACGAAGCTCGAGACCAGTGACGGGCAGAACCGGACCTCCACCCAGGTGTTTGCCTAGCTGAACCAGCGGGTTGAGGATCATTGGGATTAACACCAGTACCGATTCTGCTCCTCTGTCTGATTTCTCATTGACACCAGATGTCATCGTGCTAATTTCTCACCTGATGACCTCCATGATCAGCGCCTCTGTGGAGGTCATCATGTCTTCTCCTACTGTACTTAGCTCTGTTTTTAATCTTCTGTGGTTTGTGGCACAAATCAGAACTGGCAGCGCTAAAGTCTGACAGCAGAGCTGAGGGAAAGCTGTAGGGAGTCCAGTTCTGAGGAAAAGCACTTAAACAGTTCATCGATGGCCACAAAATAACCTTACGCGCTGCTGTTTGTGTTCAAGAGGATTCAGGGTAGCGGTGAGATAAACTGAGTCTGATTTGTTTTTACATGAGGAAACAGACTGACCATCACCAGAAGCTCATAGAAGGATGAGTGAAAGATCAGAAAGCAGATGTTTGTGGTTTTCTTTGCATTTCAGGACCTCAGATACACAAGCATCAAAGAAACGAGTCCAATATTTGTCAGATCACAAACATGGATAAAACACCTAAGTGGTAATGTTTGCAGGTGTCAGGTTTTAGAATAAAGACAGATGTCCATGATGCAGTAGCATTCTGGGAAATAAAAGGAGAGTGACGGCATCAGTAAGTCCAGACATGCAAAGACTAGAGGAAGACCGATTATTTCTCTGAGTGATGTTAAGTTCAGTCTGAATGTCAGATTAGCTTCCAGTTAGTCGCTCTGCCACACTCAGACGCCCGTCTGAGGATCTTCTAACTGAATCAAGTGACACACAAAGAAAAGTTTTAATTGTACTTTCATGTATTAAAGTTTTGTATGCGCTATTTTGTTAAATATTCCTACTTTAACACAGACTGTGTACGTTCTTACATCCTTTTTAGACCGAAGTATGATGGAGGATTTTGTATTTCTTCTTTGTATCCTGAATTAACCAGATTCTAGCTTTATTTTGTTATCGTGGCAGCAGAGACACACACCTGGATGTGAAATCACCTGTCAGACACAAACATGACTCAGCACAAAGAACAATCGGCACAAAAATGAGCACAGGTCAATGAGGTGCAACCCAAATACTTCACGTTTGGAAAAACATGGATACTTGGTCCATTAAGAATGGGTTTTCTTTGTAAATAATACATTTTCTGACCTACTAATTGCACACGACTTCATGAACAACCTCTGTTTGAAGAAACAGACTACACCCCACAGGAATGATGAGCTAGTTCAAAGTATTGCTGCTGTCTTAGAAAGGCTCAAATCTGTGATTTATGCACAAATGCAACAGTTGACTGTTTGAAATCATTTGACGGCAGTAGGTTTATAAAATCACATGAGCTGTTTTAAGATGGCAGTAATCTACTTTGGTCTTCAATGAGATCCAACCGTTAGCATCTTGTAGGATGTAATCTCCATTTCTCCAAACCGAGGCTGTTCAGGACGCTGTCTACAACTGGATTTATAACTTTTACAAAAAACAAGTTTCGAAACATCATTTGAACAGATGAACTTGCTGCTGAAATGATAAATCAAACACAATTTGGAGGCAAAAACATTCATGTTGCACATTGATCCGTTCGTATTTTCATGTTTGTGATGAGGCCGAGTAGATTTGTCTGTTCCAGCTGTTCTGCTGTTCGCTTGACCGCTAAAGTTTCACAGAAAAAAATCACACGTTTTGTATTAATGAAGTTTGAGATGGAGTCTGCACGGGTGTTCAGTCTGATCTACAGCTAAAGAATCCAAAAACCAGAATGTGTTTGCAACACTTGGACGTAATGACACGAGAGCAAGGAATGAGCCTCGTAAACATGAGAGTTTAGTTTATTAACACGCCAAGTTTTGTGTGTCCTCACATTTTGGCTGCTCTGATTACACTACCCCCCTAACACACACGCACACACACACACACACACACATTTATTTTGCTGAAAATATTCTACTGCACGTGTTGGTTTCTGTTCAGAATAAACTACATTGTTTCTACATTTGTGTTGTGGTATTTATGAATTCTGAGAGAGAGAGAGAGAAGCTTAGTTAAATATAAGTAAAGCAGATTTCAGTAGTCATCCTTCAAATAAACCAGTGAACGTAAACTGAAACTGTTGGCCTACTGGCCACATCCGGTCCACCAGACCATTGGGCCCTAAAGTCACCCAAGTGGAGGACTTTGAAGTTTAGTAGCAGTGGCGTGTCCAGAGGGGGGCATGGTGGGGGGCACGTACCCCTCTGCAAAACGGCTGGCCACCCGAAGACTGAGGCAGTAAGACATTATGACATAAACAGTAGAAACATAAAATCTGGAACATTTTAAACAAAATATCACACAACAAGCAACGGTCTCCATCCACGTTGGCCCAGGAAGGAGCGTCGGGCAGACCGGAGATTAGAAGTTGGTTTGTGCAAATGACAAGAAATATCCCATTAAGTAAAATTAAGCTTAAGTAAACTTTGCTGACATTAATATCGGGTGGAGCTAGCGTAAAAGATTTGGTTGTAACTGCTTCATGTCAGTATCAACACGCCAGCCCGACCGCATTTATTATCTTGAATATTGTGGAGTTTTATGGAGGAAAATGAGGCAGTTATGTTTAACCCAGCTGCAGCGTCACCAACAATCTGAGGGAAAAACCAGAGGAACAGGTCAAAAACTCAATCTCCGAACCTCCTCAGTGTTGCCCTGCCTTGCATGCTTTCTGCGGCTCAGCTGCGTGTGTGTGTGTGTGTGTGCGCGCACCTGTGTCTGGGAGTTCTCAACCGTCCAAACATTGAGTCCCGAACCCCTCCCAGATGCATAGTTCTCGAGCCTGAGGCAACGCGCGAGACATGCGCTCATTTTCTGAGAAAATGCACAAAATAAATCAGCAAACTTTCTAGTTTTTGTCCAGATAAATTTACAGTAATTACGGCAATTGGTCAGACCGAATCGGGCTCAGACAGCAGAGAGAATGCGGCTCTAAAATGGGTCCCAACCTGGAAGTACCAAAAATTGCAGTTCCACCCTCATCCACTGGGGGCTGGTGTCAGAAGCGAGCAAATCCTCATTGACTCCCATGTTAAAAATACCAATTTCACAGCAGAAATAAACATGTTTACAGCCTGGTACCAAAACATGTTTTTGGTTTAAATGATCTAGTTTACACTCATGACAACTCTGAGGGGGGTGATTTTTTTTCTCACTCTTCTGTTTAAGTGTATTAAAAGCCTAAAATTCTGTATAATTAATGAGCATCAGACCCACGTGACCACAGAGCTAGCTCTTTGGAAAGGCCTCAGTAGAGCCTCGGTCTGGCTTGGAAACTGTTCCGGGATTTTGAGTCTCTGTGTGTGTGTATTCTTTTTTGGATATTATGCAATTGTTGGACAAAATGACTTGCTGTGGCATTAATTGCACTAATAGAGCGTCCAAGGAGTCTCCACTTGATTTTTTCGGTAAGTAAAATTATATTTATGTATTTTAGGGTTACCCTGCCGAGCTGAGCTTAGATTTTAACATGTACTGTTTAACCATGAAATTTAAATGTAATAGGGTAAAACCCAGTGCATTTAACATAATGCTGCACTTTAGAAAATGGGTTGAAATATAACATGTTGGTGGAGCTGGGTTCCGACTATCGGCTTGTGGAGCTCTCGGGAGACCGATGTTTTCCACCCGGAATGCCGGCTGTTTCTCCCCGCAGCCCAGTCCATCTCTGTCTGATCGCGACTTCTGTTAGCTGCGCGGGCTGACGGCTGGTTCTCCCAGCAGCTCGACGCATCGCTGTCTGATCGCGGCTTCTGTGTGCTGCGGCGGGCTGACGGCTTGTGGAGGTCTGGGATGGAAACCTTTCCACCCGGTTCTCCCCAGCGGCAGCTCTGCGCAGCGGTACTTGTCTGCTGTGCGGCTGCCGAGGTCTCCAAGACCTCTGTGTTCCACACGGTTGTACCCAGCTGTCAGCCCGGCGTATCTCTGACTCAGAAGCTCTGGTGTTGTGCACAGTTAACTCCGGTTGTAGCTAGGTTGCTACCTCCGTTAGCTTAGCTCCCACCTCCGCATTAGCTTTGGGTTAGCTTCAGGTTAGCTTGTAGCTAGTTCGACCGGGTGTCGTCAGTTGATCCCAGCCTTACAGCCCCACCCTCAGCTCCACCTCTCTTCCCTTTTATAGAATTGTCTGGGCTTGATGGAACCTGTGACACGGTCAAAATGGCGGTGGTGGCCACCTCCCATTTTAATACAAAAACTTGTTATTGGAGCCTATGGAAACCCATTGTCCATATATTAATCTTGATGGTTGAGACACAGCGAATGTTTCTGAAGAACCGCCCACTCAACGTTCTTTAAAATGCACATGCGCACCCCTCTACCAGTCCGTTGAGCATGTTCGTGCACACTCTGTTTCCAAGCAACTGCCGGCTTTGCACCTGTTGACTCTAGCAAATTCTTTTTTCCCCACAATGTCGGATTCTCCACCAGTAAGTTATATTCCATGTAGCATTACGAGCATCTTCATAGCTAACTATAGCATTACAAAAGAAGCTATCAATTAGCAAATAAGTTATATTGTTTTGCTGATTGGTTTAGAGCTTTCCTGAGGAAAGACTTGTTGGTTCCGATACGGACTACGAGCCCGTGCCCGGTCCATCCCGACCAAGATTCAGGATGAGGGGTGCACCTAGAGACCGAGTGAGACGATCCAGGGCCGGAAGAGCCACAGCTTCAACAACCCACAGCAGCCGAGAGCAGGAAGGAGGCGGCCGTGTCAGAGGTCGACGTCGAGTTCGAGGTCAAGCTAGAACCCGTGGGGGTCTGCTCGCTGACCTTACACGGGATGACTTAGAAAGGGTCCAACAACTCCAGCAACAGTTTGGTGGCAGTGAAAGAGGTATGCGTGCACATCTAACTACTAACTTATCATAATTTTGTGCAAAAAGACGCCAAAAGCAAAGCCTTTATTTTACATTTTCTCCATTACAAGTCCAATTATTTCATCTGTATGATTATCCCGATTTTGAATGTGTGAAATATGTTATGTGGATTTTTTCTACCGTATTCATGACATACTCTGCTCCATCCAACATTATGAGTTACATTGTGCTACAGTGAATACACAGAAAAATGTTGTGAATGTACTTCTTTCATTTTATTCCAAACATTTTGCACTCAAGTTCCTTATGCCTGTAACATGTAGCATCTGAAAGTTTTATGAGTCCATTAGCCAAGCACAACAATTTAAAAGTGTGATTTTGCATTCACAGGCTAGGATAAAGAGACTGACGCTAGAAGAGTGCCAACAGCTTCTACAAAGATGTCTCACACGGGAACCTAGTCTCATCTTTGACCTGATGAGTCTCACCCCTGATCACCCTCAACCTGGACCTTGTCCTCCACAGTCACCCAGCTGGAGTGTCTGTCTACAGTGCAGAAATATGGCAACACCGCTGGAACAAAAATGCTGTCAACAACAACTTATACATCTTGAATGAAGGTGCGTTGAGACTGGCCAGACGAATCTGGAACGACCTAAGAGCGGAGGCTGACATCCGGGATCCAGGAGAAAGCCATAGGCAGTTCAGCTATGCTGCATACAGGAACTTTATTGTCTGGCAGTATGGCCTTCTGGGACCTGGTGTTAGAATTGTTATACCTTCATGTTGTGTGTGGAAAATTAGAGATAGTTTCCCAGATCCAAATGTATGTAGGCTTTCTTCCATCAAGAGTGTAAAACATTTGTAGATGCCTAATAAATCTTTTTGTAATTTACCTCAAAAAAAGAGACCTCAAGAGCTTTACTTGCACCCTCATAACCTGATTAATTACACAGTTGTATTCTGACACTTCAAATATGTAACATTTCCAGGTTTTAATAAAAAAAAGTCTTCCAGGGTTTGTTAGGTGTTCAAACACAACTTTATTTACATTTAAAAATACATAAACAATTTACCTCAGCAAAAATGTATTTAAAAAATTTATGCGGAAATATAAACAAACGGTTATGCATTTTTTGTATTAGCTCTTACGTATAAAATCAATGTTTTATGAAAGGCTTACATCCACCAGAAAATGTTTGATATGGCACATTATGTACAGCTGAAATAGAAGCACACGTTTGGTTCCCTTTAGATGTAGGTACAGTTGTAAACATCAAGTTGTCTCTCCTCGTCACCCACAGCATTTTGTCACACTCTGTCCTGTCTCCCCATTCTGTTCAGTCATGTGTCTCTGTTAATTGCTCCCACCTGCCTCTCGTTTTCCAATCACCCAAGCTCCCAGCCCTCATGTATTTAAACCCTCTCAGTTCTGTGTGTTTTGTCGGTTCATTGTTTCCATGTCCTGCGTGCAGTTACTGTTAAAAGACCTTTTGCATGTCCAGATTGCCTGCCTGCCTGCTTCCTCCCCAGCATTTGGATCCTCACAAACCGCTCAACTCACCTGCACCGTGACAGAATGAACCGACCTCCCGAAGGATCCAGCGGGGAGGTTCTCCCCAGGGAGTACCTGCTCCGATGGCTCACCCCGAGCCACCAGCCGGCTTCTCCTCCTCCAACTCCGCCACGCCGCCATCGAGCCTCTGCGTTCCTCTCCACCCTCACGGAGCCAGATGTGAGGGTGGACTGGGAGACGCAGCCGGACCGATCCACAATTTCTTATAAATTATATCTAGGAAATAAAACTTACAATGAAATCTTAAAAAGATGTGGCTTCCTTACAGCAGTACCAAAAGTGGTTGCAAACGTCTCTGTTCCAAATCAGAAGCAGGGCACAGTCCTTCTTTCGTCCAGCCTGAAAAAATAAAGAGTATAGGAATGAAATAATTCGTATCTTACCAGAATAAAAGAAGAGCAGGAACAGCACACATACAGCTTGAATCTTTTTACAGAGGTTCTTTGCACCGTGCCAGATATCCAGGCTGTTTATCAGCTTCTCTGTAACACACACACACACACACACACACCCATGCGTGCACGCACACACAAATAAATACACCGCTAACACATGGTAATTGGAA